CTATAATGGAGTTGCCTACCAAATATGCTTTATATGGTATGGATTTTTATTTTGACATGTAGATTGTTATATGATCTCCCTGTCTAGATTGAAGTGGAGATTTTAGTATAAAGCAAAGAACTTGTCAATTTTTTTTCATTACATCTGCTATTGTGAGCAAAATATCAAGTTTCTTAACCTTCCAATACACCAATACAACCACTATGAGAAGATATATTTAAACACAGGTATATTATTACAAAGTTTATGAATAGTCTAAAAAGAGTTAGCAAGACTGATAATTTATGGATGTTTTTCTTTTTCTTCAGTGAGCTTTCAAGAAAAATGTTTTTATGTCATTTTGATAATTATGATTATAGCCTTTCCAGAATTGAGTTTTTGCAATACACTTGTATATAGGATGGGGCTATACAGTCATATTATTATGGATGGGGCCTGACAAATATGAAAAAACAAGATTATTTCATATTTATCTGTTCTTTAAAAGAGATTGAGATCCTTGAAATTATAAATCATTATAAATGCAAATGAAGTATTTAATCATTAATATATCATGCAAATAAAATATATTTCTTCATGAGTCAGTAATTATGCCCCCTTTTGAAAAAAAGGGGGTATATTGCTTTGCACTTGTCGGTCCGTCGGTCCGTAGACCAAATGGTTTCCGAGTGATAACTAAAGAACCCTTAGGCCTAGGAACTTCAAACTTGGTATAGTGATTGGTCATGACAAGTAGATGACCCCTATTGATTTTGGGGTCAAGGGGTCAAAGGTCAAGGTCACATTGACCTTGTAAGCAAAAACGGTTTCCGATCATTAACTAAAGAACCTTAAGGCCTAGGAACTTCAAACTTGGTATGGTGATTGTCATGATCAGTAGATGACCCCTATTGATTTTGGGTCAAGGGGTCAAAGGTCAAGGTCACATTGACCTTGTAAGCAAAAACAGTTTCCGATCAATAACTAAAGAACCTTAAGGCCTAGGAACTTCAAACTTGGTATGGTGATTGGTCATGATCAGTAGATGACCCCTATTGATTTTGGGGGTCAAGGGGTCAAAGGTCAAGGTCACATTGACCTTGTAAGCAAAAACGGTTTCCGATCAATAACTAAAGAACCTTAAGGCCTAGGAACTTCAAACTTGGTATGGTGATTTGTCATGATCAGTAGATGACCCCTATTGATTTTGGGGTCAAGGGGTCAAAGGTCAAGGTCACATTGACCTTGTAAGCAAAAACGGTTTCCGATCAATAACTAAAGAACCCTTAAGGCCTAGGAACTTCAAACTTGGTATGGTGATTTTGTCATGATCAGTAGATGACCCTATTGATTTTGGGGTCAAGGGGTCAAATGTCAAGGTCACATTGACCTTGTAAGCAAAAACGGTTTCCGATCAATAAGTAAAGAACCCTAAGGCCTAGGAACTTTAAACTTGGTATGGTGATTGGTCATGATCAGTAGATGACCCCTAACGATTTTGGGGTCAAGGGTCAAAGGTCAAGGTCACATTGACCTCTTGGTAAAAACCGTTTCCGATCAATAACAAAAGAACCCTTAGGCCTAGGAACTTCAAACTTGTATGGTGATTGGTTATGACCAGCAGATGACCCCTATTGATTTTGGGATTAAGGGGTCAAAGGTCAAGGTCACATTGACCTTGTAGGTAAAAATGGTTTCCGATCAATAACGAAAGAACCCTTAGGCCTAGGGACTTCAAACTTGATATGGTGATTGGTCATGATCAGTAGATGACCCTATTGATTTTGGAGTTAAGGGGTTAAAAGGTCAAGGTCACATTGACCTTGTAGGTAAAAACGGTTTCCGATCAATAACGAAAGAACCCTTAGGCCTAGGGACTACAAACTTGATATGGTGATTGGTCATGATCAGTAGATGACCCCTATTGATTTTGGGGTCAAGGGGCAAAGGTCAAGGTCACATTGACCTCTTAGGTAAAAACAGTTTCGGATCAATAACTAAAGAACCCTTAGGCCTAGGAACTTTCGAACTTGTATGGTGATTGGTCATGATCAGTAGATGACCCCTATTGATTTTGGGGTCAAGGGGTCAAAGGTCAAGGTCACATTGACCTCTTAGGTAAAAGCAGTTTCCGATCAATAACTAAAAGAACCCTTAGGCCTAGGAACTTCAAACTTGGTATGGTGATTGGTCATGACCAGCAGATGACCCTACTGATTTTGGGTTAAGGGGTCAAAGGGAAAGGTCACATTGACCTTGTAGGTAAAAATGCTTTCCGATCAATAACTTAAGAACCCTTAGGCCTAGGAACTTCAAAACTTGGTATGGTGATTGGTCATGACCAGCAGATGACCTATTGTTTTTTAGGGTCAAGGGGTCAAAGGTCATGTAACATTGACCTTGTAGGTAAAAACGGTTTCTGATCAATTAACTAAAAACACTTAGGCCTAGGAAACTTCAAACTTTGTATGATGATTGGTGGTGACCAGCAGATGACCCCTATTGAGTTTTGGGTCAAGGGTCAAAGGTCAAGGTCACATCGACCTTGTAAGTAAAAATGGTTTCTGATCAATAACTTAAGAACGCTTAGGCCTAGGAACTTCAAACTTGGTATGGTGATTTTTCATGACCAGCAGATTACCCTTTCGATTTTGGGATCAAGGGGTCAAAGGTCAAGGTCCCATTGACCTTGTAAGTAAAAACGGTTTCTGATCAATAACTAAAGAACACTGGGCCTAGGAACTTCAAACTTGGCATAGTGATTGGTCATGATCAGCAGATGACCCCTATTGATTTTGGGGTCAAAGGTCAAGGTCACATTGACCTTGTATGTTAAAACGGTTTCGGATCAATAATAAAAGAACCCTTAGGCCTAGGAACTTCAAACTTGGCATGGTGATTAGTCATGACCAGCAAATAACCCTATTGATTTTGGGGTCAAGGGGTCAAAGGTCAAGGTCACATTGACCTTGTAAGTAAAAACGGTTTCTGATCAATTAAGTAAAAACGCTTAGGCCTAGGAACTTCAAACTTTGTATGATGATTTGTCTTGACCAGCAGATGACCCCTATTGAGTTTTGGGTCAAGGGGTCAAAGGTCAAGGTCATGACCAGTAGATACTTGATAACCCTTATCAATTGTTTGATCACTGGGTCAGAAGTCATGCATAATTACCTTATCACATGAATAATTGGCTGCTGATAGGGGGCATACATGTTTTACAAACATATCTTGTTCAAGATGATTTGTTGCACGATAACCATATTTTGGGAGGAGATAAATTGTGAAATATATTTTTTTTTGGGGGGGGGGGGGGGGGAGTGTGTCTATATAAGAGATTAACACAGTTCAATGCTTTACAAAGAGCATTTAATGACATCTATGTTTAATGGTCTATTTAGGGTATGGGGAAAATGTAAATTTCAAATAATTTGTTTTAAAGTTAAACAAAAACTTGTTAGGGTCATGTATGCTTTAAATGTTAAGCTATATAAATGTTTTCATACCTTGGTAGGAAGATGTTAAAAAGTATTTATTTAAAATATTATAAGCATGTACATGTAGACATTGGGTGAATAACATTTCATTCATATCCAGCTATAAAGACTAAGTCAATTTAGCATATAAAAAGTTGACTTTGTAGCTATAAAGACTTAAATTTAGGATCTAAAAGGTTGATTTTGATTTTTTTTCCATTAAATTGCGCATACTTCTTAAGTTGTCTGTCTTTTTTATTTCAATTCAGAAACTGTGTTTCGAAATATTTTAATTCTACATGCAAATACTTGTTCTTCATTTCAAGTCACACTCCATATGTCGCAAACATTATTCAAGTACGAGGATTTTATATGCTGATAAATCAATACTGACAAAGGCTAGATAGTTATTGGATGTTTAAACGGTAAATTTGCGGAGTTGTCACTGTCGGGTTGACCTCACAAATGTGAACAATAGCAATTGCATTTATCTTTTCATTTCGAACCCAGCTGGCAAATGTAATTGAGTTATTTGAATATGTTCGAATAAATTAGGGGGAAAAAAGGATGTTTTCTATGAAAAGTATAGGCACTTTTTATCAGGGTTTTATATGAAATTTATTACAACTGTTTCTGTAAATATGATGAATTTCATGAATATTGTAACATTATGATGGATCTGATAGGAAAGTGAATTCAGATGTATATTAATCATCACACATAACACTGATAAAATGTTTCTTGATATTTAAAATGAAACTCAGATGAGAAAATGCACCATTAGTTTATATCATTGCATATTGTAAGATTTAAAAAAATAATTGTATGCTTTAAAAAAAATTATGAACACGTTGAACTTGTTTTAGAGATAAGGTTTACTAGAATTCAGAACAAGTTACTTTTAGGGACTAAAATTCCTTTTTGTGGTACTGAACATAAGTGAATATGATATTGATACTTGTAAGTTATTTTACAATACTCGAAGGAATTTGGCATGCATTATTCAATTGTAAAAAAATGGTTGATTTTCGCATTGCTTCAAAATTGCTATTTGTGTAGCTATCACCTGATTATTTTAAGTTTTTTTATGTGCAGGTGCCAGGTAAACAATGGTTTTTAATTTGTTTTGGAAAATTTGATTCCTTTAAAGTTTTTTAATTCTTACAATTATAGCATAATAGCTGAATGGTTTAACCCTTGGCTTAGCCAGTTGGCATTCACTGATCCTACCCTTGCAACAACTGCACTGTATGCTATTCAGTCAGTACTTTGAAAAATTCCTTAAAATGACAAATGGTTTTGTCTAGATTGAAAGATGGATAGGTCCATTTCTGATGATTAGGATATTTAGGAGGTTAAATGTTAAAGTTATACTAATGTAGGCATATATTTCGTGGTAAGAAAACTCTATCTATATAGGTATTTGATAACATAATTATGTACTCTATTACAATCAGGTAAGTTAAATACTAGTTCATTTAATGTTAAGAAAATTTGTAATACACTTGAAAAGAAAATATATAAATGTTTGCTCTTTATTTTCAGGTAACAGAAAATGAACATTGGACAGATGTGTTAGAAGAGCTTGGACTCCCTGTAGCATGTTTAAATGTAGACCAAGCCCTCAAATTTATTTATATCAGGTATGGACAATGTAAGAGGAGCTTTGACTTAGTTTTTCATGTGTAATTGGTGAATGGTTTGAGTATAATGTTTTCTCATATGGCACAAGTAATGGTGAGATCTAGAAAGCGGACTTGAGAATGGTTGAAATAAGTTAATATTTGTATAATGTTTAAAACACGGAAGAAAATTTAAAACAACCTCTTGTACCTTTTTCATCTCACATAATTATACTAGTTTGCAAAAAGTTTTATAACTGCCAATTTAAAGCAATATGTTTTGTAGCAATTATATTGCAAATTTAATAAGTGCAACAGGCTTTATAAGTAAATTACTCTGACATCAGTGATAATGGAAAACATGTTGCCTACAAGTACGTATTGAATTATACCTAAGTTTATAATTTTATTGACGAACCCTCTGAAAAAAGGAATCTAAAGTGTAATAAAACTGTAGTTGAAGAGGAATGTTCAAACTTTTGATGTCTTTGTCATGCAAAACTAGCCGTAGAAAAGTCCTTAATAGTCTAATGTTAAATTATAAATTATGTTTACATTATCATGAATAATGTTTGCATATCGTGATTTATCGTTTTCTTCAAGGTTATAAACAGCTTGAAATATGAATAACATTTTTTTTTGATAATTGCCTACAATGATGTTTTTGCTATGGTAATGGTATTAAGAATATAATTTGTTTATTAAACCTGACACTTTTATATGCAAACTCAAGTCAGTTAAATGACTCGAGGAAGATTGGCTGTTCTAGTTCCCCATTATCCATTTAGTTTTATCCTGGCTTTATGCCTTGAGGGGCAATACTAGTCTTGCGCTTTTCCATCTGCAGTAAAGTTGAAAAAATCACCACCATATAAGAACTTTATAGAGTTGTGACTTAACAACCCAACCAATCAAAGAATATGGGCCAATTTAGTTAAAGCTGCCATTGTTTTCAGTACTTTGCAATATAGACATGTAATTCTGTAACCCTTGGCCTGCTGGCAGCTACAAATTCTACCCATACAACCAGTGCAGACCAAGATCAGTCGTCCATGACGTGCTGTCAAATCATAGTCTGCACTAGTTGCTATTAAGTCAGTACAAAAATTGCGTTTGAAATTTTCTCTAAAAGCAATGAATGGCTTGGTCCAGATTGCAAGAGTGACAAGTCTGTTATTGATAATTCAATTTAGTGTTGTACCGGTTAAGAGCAAGCAGTGCTAATGAGTGATTGGTCTATGCCATCAGGTAAGGGCATTCAGTATGCTAGTATAAACTTCCGTCTGTTTTCTTGTTGGGATGCTGTTTTATGAACAATTCTTATGAAATATTTTTTATTAAAACAATATTGGTTGAATTTTTATGGTTTTGAAGCAGTTTTAACATAAAATGTCTCTGTTCTTTATCACACATGAATATTGTATGTAAACAGAACAAAATGTTCCTACAAGTCTGCTATGTTAAGCTGAGTCTATGATCAACATTAATTATTTCCTTTAAACATTTATTCATCACACAATTTATGGCTTTTATAGAATCGTTATATAGGAGTGAGATTCATGAAGTAACTGCTTTAGATATAAGTCGTTAAAATTAATACTCAGACAAGAAATTATTAGAAAGTTCTAGGATCTCTGTACGTGAAAAGTGAATTTGCAATAAGCTGGCATTGTAGAGATAATTGAAATGTATAACATAACTAGGAGAAAATCAATTCTGCCTCATTAAAACTTTAGGCATTCTTAAGAAGCTGTATGGGCTTATTTTGACGATCATTCCTGATAAAAGCTTAAGGTCTTCAGATTAGGAAGATCTTTTTATAAAGATATATTGGCAAGACTTGATTATTTTACGACTAGATAAAACGCAAACTGAAAGAACAATGAAAGTGATATCTCTAAGGGCACATTATGGAATATTTGCCAATATTATTTATACATCAGATAATACTTAGAATGCTTGTTTCATATTACTTGTAAAACTGTTATTAACACAATTTATTGACTGCTTGATTGTTATTGTTATTAATGTTTTTGTGTATCGAATAGTCCTTTCCTTTCTCAGTGGAAGTAAAAAGTTTTAAGGATGGAATCATTTTATGAACAGGAAGAAAGTCACAACAGGTTAATCTTTCAAAAATCCTTGATCTGTTTCCTTTACCATCCTTTGCTGTTTCTTGCATATTTTCACCTGCTAAGCTCAATAAGGAGAGGATTTGATTTGTAACCCAGGAGATGCTGGTTCAATCCTCCAGCTAGGCAAAATTTACAGACATTTAGTCTAATGGTCATTTATCTCTCAATGCTGTCTCAGACCTCCTTTATTATTTTTCTTGTTGGAAAAGAATGCAAATAGGAATAAATTATTGTCTTCATTAATTTCAGATATCTAAATATATATGAACAAATACATTTTCTTGGCGAGGATCCAAAAACAGTGGACACAAGACGAGATGATGAAGGTCCAATTAGAAAGAAGCATTGTGGGTCACAATATAATGTTCCTCTTACATATAACCATGCCCAGCATGACGTGGCTGGTAAGTGAAATATATAAAAGAATTGTTGTTGATACTCAATTTTCATGAAATAATAACAACTTTCAGATAATTGATATTATTTTATTTGTTAAGTTAGCAAAATTAAAGAAAAGTTTTGATGAAAGTAAAAAATGAGCACTGATATTAGATTATGACTTTACGTATTTTCCTGAAGAACTGAAATGTATGATGCTAACATAAAAATTATTTTATTTTCAGGAAATCTTCGTGCTGGGTTTGGATTATGTACAAAATATGCTAAACACAGCGACTATGACAAATTGGAGAAGGCACTGCTGTCAGGGCTGCCTAATGAAGTTGACTTTGTTATCAATGTTTGCACATTATTATCTAACGAGAGCAAACATACACTACGTCTTGATAAATGTGCTGTACTCACAGAGCTTTTACTGGCTCATATTGGAATATTTAATAAAGGTTTGTAGGCTTCTTTTTCTATATTATTTTTCTGTTGAGTTGTTATAGGTAAAAATTTTAGATACTAAGTGACAGTCCTGTGTCTCTTTAATATTTTATAAAATTTGAGGGAGCTTGCACTTGAAATATTACTGTATATAGTGCTGTAGTATTTACCAATAATGTAATTTAGCTTTTGTTGTTGAATTCACATTATGCAAAATTCTTCTTTTAGCTCTTATTTCAAAATGGTTTTTGTTGGGTTTTTTCAGGGGACCTAGCTATGGAAAAGTTATATGAGAACGGATGGAGGAAAAATTCAGATAGAGATTTTATAAGGGTAAGCCTACATTTCCAAACCTTTTACTTGCTAATCTCCTGCTTATAAAAGTAATGTTTAATTCTGTGAAAACAAACATCTAATTCCTTTGCAATATTTGAAAAAGAATGCTGCTTATGTTTTGGATTTATCAAAGCCTTTTGATGAATTTGTCTTGCAAAAACACTGGGTCTCTGTATAATGCCTTGAATGATGTAAAGTTATAGCAAATTATTCTATATTCTTATAGCGTTGTAGCAAAGATTTGACTGTCTATATAGTATTAAATACATCTAAATCATGAATGTAAAAAATTGAAATATTTCCTAACAACATAAATTAACTGCTGTTTTTATTACATTTTAATCATGTGCCAAATGCTTTATTAGAAAGCAATATTTCAATTTAGGTACTTTGTGATGATTTTTATCAAAATACAAACAAGATATTATAGTGGTCATAGACAGCCTAATAAAGCTTTATACAGTTTTATCCTATGTTTTATTTTGATTAACTGTAATGATGAAGTTAATAATTTCTTTTCAGTTTTGGTTTGATACAGTCACTGATGTGGAAGCTAGGGATTTGATCTCATTTACTCGTAAAGATTCCAGTAAGTTGAAACCTTAGCTTTGATAAATCATTCACTGTTATAACATTAGTTGATTCATGACATAAGGGAAATTATTAGAAAGCCTGGAAGTGAAAATTAGTTTTCTCTTAAGCAGTGTATGTAAAGCTATTTAATGATTTTTGAAATAAGCTCACTTAGTGTAATTCTTTGTTAACCTTTTCTTCTGTGTTAAACTTTATGTTATAATAACACTGGAAACATAAAACGTTATTTTAATGTAACCCAATTTTACAAATATTTGTTTGGAAATAAGATGATTTTTTTCCCTAGGCTTAAAATATCCAAACTGAAGAAGAAAAAAAACTGTTAATCTATTTATGAAAAGATAGCTTGCAACTTTTTATCCCTAACCTAGGCTTCATTTTATTTATTTCGTTCTTTTAAAATGTTAAGAACTTTAGAAATATGTTGATTGCAACCAAAATTACAAAAAAAAAATACCATAATTGTACATTTAAGTCAAGAAAGTTAACTTAGAAATAAAAATTTGTCTGAAATTTACTTCTTTAATTTACTCATAGCAGTCCTAATTAAGCAACATTTTATAAATGCAAATAATCATTTTGTAGGAAATTTAACTGGAAAGGAAGTGCTACAACTTGGTAGGAATTTGGGAGTAGAAGACAAAGAGGGCATTAGAATTACACAGGTATGTAACTAGTTTGTGTCAGGGATTTATATTACTTATAATGAGACACTTTGACTTAAACTGGAAAGCTATCGGAGTGTCATAGCCACAGAGTTAAGACTGAATCTTATTTGTATCTGATAAATGAATAATCTTTTATGAAGTGACCTGACCAAAAATGCAAGCAAAATGTTTATTGCAGATCATTTCAGATCAGTTAGAATATTGAATTATTTTGAAAATGAATATTCATAAGATTTATACTGTGACTTTCCTAGGATATGCAGAAATGGGCCGTGTCATAATGTCATAACCAACATAATGGGTTTGCGACCAGTATGGATCCAGACCAGCTTGCCTGGATCCATGCTGGTCGCAAACGCACTATGTTGGTTTTGTCGTGACACGGCTCGAATAAATTTCATATTTTTCTAATCATTGCAGTTATGATTTTGTGTGATTTGTGTTTCAAAGTTTCAACTTATTATATGTAAAGAAATCATTTTGAGATATAGCTACTTCTGTGAACGCTGACACTTTAGTTTAGTCATCTTGTGTATTAATATTAAATTTTACTTTCTTTACAAATATCTGTGAATACTGTATATAGAAACAAATATTGATGAACAGCTATTTCTTAGATCTGTTGGCATGTTTAAGATTATATTAATTGCTATTACAGATTGCCATATATATTATAAATATTATATTCGGCATTTAACTTATTGCCATTTTAAGATATTGCTGTAAATCACCTAATATATTTTAAACTGACTGACAGTTAGAGAATGTTTAATGACAAGTTTACCGTATGGTTTACGAGTTATGGAGATTTTTCTAAAGACAAACTTGGCTATTAGAAGGGCTCTTTTTCAGAAATGGGAAACTCTAATTATTCTATTATATAATCATTATGAACTAATGTTTTCCTATAGAATTTTTTTAAGAAACAAATAATAGCATTCAGCTAACAAATGACACAGCAAAATTATTGTTTCTACTCAAAATGTTTGAAATATGTATATAAATGTTACCCTACCCCACCCATTTTAAGAAGTTGTTTGTTCATTTTTCTACTTGGAGGGCCTTATTCAAAATATCCCTAAAATTTACTCAAATCAGGGGCTGTTTTCAAAGTTTGCACAAATTTTTAAACAGGTATATTTGTTGCGCTTGTCAAATATAAAATACTTTTACCGTCTAGTTTTTATTTTATTAGACTTTGAAAATACAAGGTACCATATTTGATAATAAATTTGACACAATTTAGCCAATAAATACCAATAATAATTTTATAATTGAGATAAAACACTTTTTTCTTATCAAGAGTGATCTGAGAGACACAAATAATGTTCAAAGAAATAAAAAGAAAGAAAAAAAAATTGCCTCTTCCGGGGCTTGAACCCGCGCCCCTCAGTTTCAATGCAGTTGACAGTAGTTCTAGCCTATTTGAGTACTCTTCAAAGTGGAGGTAATGCATTAGGTGGGTCATACCTTAACTTATTGCCATTTTAAGATATTGCTGTAAATCACCTAATATATTTAAACTGACTGACAGTTAAGAGTTTAATTTTAATGACGTTTTTTTTTTCCTATCTGTTATAGATTGCTATCATCATAAGAAATCTGTCTTTTGATGCAGACAATATGAAGTTTCTAGCAACCAACGATCTTGTTTTCAGGTAAGTTTTGGTTTCCATGACAAAGTTTAACATATGAAAATTACAAAACCAATAATTCTTATTTTAAAATAAACTTGATTGAATATTTTTTTGTGTGTCTTGTTACCAGATTTATTAAGTAATAATGGAGCTTGGATATTGTGACATTTGAATAACTTTGACAAAAATGTAACTATATAATGTTGTTGTTATAAGTATCTTGTCAGAGTTTTATGTTTGATGCCAGATATTATACTATTCCTTGAAGTATTAAGAAACTATATATATATATATGTAATTTTTCAACAGTTACATGCAGATATCTAAATTATATAATGGATTTGCCTATCCCTGCTGTCTTTTCAAAAGTTAAGGGATTATAATATCAAGAATTAGAAAATTGAGCTACCAACAGTATAGAGCCTGGTCTTACTTCAGGGGCAAGTCCTTGTTTCCTTGAGCAAGAAACTTTACACTCATTGCTCAGTACTGGTTGGTTCCAGGAACGGATTCGAAAGTGTGTCTATAAGCTTATAGCTTCCTACACAATCGAACTAAAATAAATTCTGTATAAACCAAACTTTAAGGATGCACCGGCTTGCCTGGCTCTATACTGATTGAAAAGGCTAAATTAATTTCTATTTTGGTGGGGTAAGGGGTTATTGTTTATAAATGATTTAATATTTATTCATCACATGTCTTTATGTATATTTCTCCGTACAGGTTCTTGTTACTATGTTTACACTGTACATATGGGTCTTTACGTCAGCTGGCATTAGATACATTGGGCAACCTTTCTGCACAGTTCATACTGGATCCATCAGATTCTTTCAAATCTGAGGCTATTCTATCCCTTGTAGTGAAGTGTATCACATCCTCAGATAAATTTGCTGTAGTTACAGGTATGTTTACACTATTGAAGTTATTGTTGTGTCCACACAACTGCCAGTGCTGTGATGTGTCTTCCATTTTGTTTTCATTTTGAATAAGAGTATTAAATTCTCACTATTGTTGCTGTTCTTGGAATGTGAGGATATCTTTTTTGTTTTCAGTGAAATAATGATATTACAATTTAAGTCTTCCTGTTGTTTGTAAAATATTTTTAAAATAAATCATAGGCCTACATAAGAATTTACGTAATAAGTAAGAATAAGGGGTTAAAAAGAAGGTTTATGGTAGTTAAATTTAAATCCTCATTACCTACCCAAGCTATAACTACGAATTGATATTGGTTACGGTAGCAACTAGATATACAAGTCATTTTAATAAATTAATTGAAATATAATTGACTTAAAGAGCCTATCACAAGTCCATAGCTTTTTCTAGACAAGATTTCAATTATGTACATTTTATTAAAAAGTCAATCCTTTGTATTGATTTAGAACACAAATATGGTATCATGTTCTAACATCTATTTTCAGGGTTGGAGATGGTTAGCAAGTTGAGTAAACAAGAGGAGAATGAATACGTGATCTCAGAACGCCTGGACACAAATATATACGAGGAGATAGCCAAATATTTGACCATATCAGATATACAGTTAATAGTTTACAGTCTAGAAGCTCTGTATCAACTGTCAGAGATTGGCGAGGAAACAAATAGTAAAATTGCTGAAGTTTCAAACACTGTTGGTAAGAGAAATAATATTTTTATATGTTAATTAGGCTGTTATGTTGTATAAAATGAGGTCACATCTGTGTAATTTTATTGGTAAGAATAAAAGAAAACATAATTATGTCTGCATTTTGTTGCCTGATTAACCTAAACCTTGTTGAATTGAAGAACTTTTTTCAGTGATAATTATAAAGGAATAAATTTGTGGATTTTTTTCTTAGATGTTTTGCAAAAAGAAAGTTGATAATCTCCTCAGATATGTTTAGAGAAAGAAGATTTAAAATCAAACTTTAATTATTTTTGTTTTCACTATATACTTGATCTTTTCAAAAATTCACCTTTAGCTATTGAAATTGATGTTTTTCACTCCAAGTTTCTAAAAATGTTTTATTCTAAATTCTTTATATTTTACATAAATTGTGCACTAATGAGGTCAGAGAATTTCATAATCAGACTATTTTACTATCTATTTATAGATACTCTAGTGTCACTGATCACAGTAGAGGCCCAGTCATATGGTCCTAACTCTTTGATTGGTATCAAAGTTGTGGAATATTGTCCGCCTCCACATCTGACGGGAGGAGTCACGGAGGGTGTACCGGCGGCTGTAGGTCCGCCTCCTGGAACAGGAACGCCTCAACCGTCACAAAGTCAACCTCCTGGGCAGCAGGGGTCAATGATACATGCAAGTTCACTGAAAAGTAAGTAAATTCTTTATGCTATAAAATTTCTATAGGACAAAGATTGTAGACCTAACACTTTGTTTACTGTGTTATAGTAATTGACATGTTTTATATATTCAAAATATGACTTGTGGCGAGGATTGTTAGTTAATACTGACCTATTCATATCATATGATGTATTTCTTGCTCATTTCAATGGTGAAAGTATTGCTCGCAATTTGTACTTTAGTGCAGAATTACCATATCATGTATGTAAGTTATGAATCAAATGCGCATTTATGAATTTTATAATTTGTATATAACAATATTTTTATAACAGATCAGATGCTCATAATCAATGTTAATTTGACATTTTAGAAGGTGACTCGTCTGATGATAAGGGAGATAAATCAATACCAGATACTCCTACCGCTCTATCTCCTATGGAAACTACAGCTTGTAACTGGTAAATATTTGTTAGATTATATTATCAATTAAAAATCTAATCAATTCTTTATAAATCTGAGAAAACTTGTCATATTTAAATGTTTAGACATACATGTAGTCTTTTATATATCTGAAATGCTAGAGGTAAGTTAGTTTACAGAGCCGCTGTGGATGTAGGCCGAAAATACATTTAATAAATAAATTAACATAGACCAAACTAAGAAATGTTAAAAAGAAAGATGTCTTTCTTTTTCTTGAAAGAAAATGATGGTGTAAGAATTCAGTAGTCTTTGTTGATATAACGACAACTTTTGATAAAATTTCTTTTGTTATATTCTATACTAGATGATCAAAGTTACAATGAGCAGTGGCCTAGTGGTTAAGATGTCTGTCTTTCAACCAAAGGATCACGGGTTCAAGCCCTACTGTTCTCTCATATGACACTTGTAATGGTTTGTTCCAGTAAGCAAGACTCATAGGTGGTTTAAATATGCAATAAATTATTTTTCACAATTGAGTTTAAATAAATGATGTTTAATCTATTGTTACATTATACAATTCAGGATGAAAGCTAACTATGAAGTGCATGATTCCTCAGTTACAACCCACATATCCATGTACAAAGAGTATCTCAGCTTCTGTAAGAGATTCCAACTTAACCAACCTCTGGCCTCCCAAGATTTCCTCAAGTGTCTCAAGTAAGTCAAAACTTAATTTATAATATTATGTTTTGGTAAAGTTTTAAGTGATGCCAACATTGTTTTGGTAAAAAAAAATGACTATAAAGCTTAAATGGTGGAGTAAGACCTTGGGCGCTCATTTGTCCATTCTTTTAAGTATGATAAGGCACCTGAGAAAAACCACAGACCTTCCACCAATTCATAAATCATATGAATTAGAAATAACAAGTTCAATATGTCCAGGCTCTATACTATTTACTATTTTTGAAATGGGATATCATAAGCAGTAACAAATGACAAATCCAAAAAAAAAAAAAAATGTGTTATTGTTATATCAGGAAATAGTGAGAAAAAGATGTATGTGTGTAATAAACAATCATTATTCATTCAAAATTATATTAAAGGTGCCAGTTGAATTTCCTGAATTTTTGAAAACAAAGTATTACACAAGCAATATATATTGCTATTTATGACTGATTCCTGTTGATTTTGTACTAACATGTGTCTATTTTAGAACGGTATTCCCAAAGACGAGCAGTGCTATGGCAGTCAAAGAGGGTGGAAGCAGGGAGATGTGTGTTTTGGGTGTCAGAAAACGAGCCCAGCAACTTCCTTTCTCTATCTCTTGTCCAGGTATGCACTTCTCATTCAGATACATTTTCTCTTCAGTAAAATGGTATAATTTTGTGGTAAAATACTGTCATTAAACGTAGAATATTAAATTTTAAGAACTTAAAAAATAAGATATATTATTAGTGGTTTAAAAATTAAGATTTAAAGGGAAAATAATGTTCTAGTGCAAAAACATTATTATATTGATTAGTTTGTTTTGAGGCTAACTACAAAAATGTATTTGAATTTATAATTGCCAGATAATCTTGTATTGATTTATTTATAACTCATAGTCCATTTGAATGATTGCCTTAATGCAATTAATTGCCATGGACTTAAAATATATGATAGTAAAATGCTGAGGTGGTTTTCCTGTTGGTTTTGTTGTGGTAAACATATTAAATATATATTCACAAAACATGTTCTAGATATAAAATATTCATTATCTATACTTTGCGGTTACAAAAACGAAAAATGTCAAGTTTAAATGACGATGAATTTGTGTATGGTTGCTTTTTACTATTTTAATATACACAGTACATTTTAACTTTACTCAAATTTACCAAATTACCTAATTGAACATGTCCATCTTTCACTCTGGACAAAACCATTTATTATTTTTAGGGGAAATTTCAAAATATGTACTGACTGAAGGCAAACAGTGCATACCATAATCATACAGCATAAATGTGCCAGATGATCTTGGTCTGCATTGGTTGCATGGCTAGAATCAGTTGCTTTGAGCAGAAATATGAATTCAGAATTTTAGTTCATTTAATTCATTTACAAATCCTGTTTTAGAAAGGATTGCCAAGAAAATTACTTATTCATTGAATATTTTTTTTATCTAGATTTCTAAAGTTTTGTGAATATATTCAAACTTGGCTCTATTGTTGTAGGTCTTTCTTGCATGCATTGTGTGTGATTTTTCACTGTAAATAATTCATGGGATTTTTTTTCAATCAATGAAAACTAATGAATTATTTATTGCATGTTCCTGGTAAATATTGTTGCAGAATAATGACATTGAAAAGCCTCTGCATGTATTTGGGATTCTAAATTACATGACTGACGAAACAATTAAAAAAAAAAAAAAAAAAAAAGAACTAAAAAAACAAAGGAAATAAATTAAGCTTTATGATTATATTCAAGAAATAATTGATTTCAATTTTAATCTTTTTTTAAATGGCTGTAACAGAAAAGGTCTGCAAAAATTCAAAGGAAGAAAACAGAAAAGAGAATTTAGGCATTTTCTGAACATATTTGTACGGACTTAATTTAAGGACTATTGTTTTGTGGTATAAATGATTACATTAGAAGTTGGTTGTATACAGAGAGGCATTTTAATTGACATTAGTAGGTTCTTAATATTAAATGTGGTTGATTATTACAATACAGTCAAATTTTAGATGATGCTCAAAATTTATAATTAAAATCGTAATTTTATTTTCTTTGACCGTTAATATGCTAAATATCTTAAACTTGAATAAGATAAGGACTTTTTAAAGCGCAGTATTTACTCTTCAAAGTAACAGAAAATGAAAAAAGTGAGAGAAGTGAATTCAAGATGTAGTCATCGGGTAGTTGACAAGTTCCCTGCAGAATTTTGAACCGTCAATTAGAAGTGTTACAATCTGAAGAAGAAAAAACAACACAAAACTATATTTAAATAATGAAATGCTAAAATTTGGCAGACTAGAGAATAGAGTCTTATTAGACTTTGTAACTGCATTGGCCTAATAATTTGCCTCAAACACCTGGAAGAATTGGTGGTTGCTATGAATAAGTTAGAATGAGTGGGGTTTTATTTTAATACTTGTCCAAGTCTTGATTTAATAAAACAAGCAGAATGAGTTTCAGTTTGAACCGTTTCAAATGATTAAGACTGTTGTTTTGCTTAGAAAGTAAGAGACTGTAGATAGTTACATGAGGGATAATTGAATTATTATAGTTGTTTAATTATTGTATTGCTGTGCTAATTGTTTGTAGGTAAGTTTTATATAAATGCTGGTACAATGAGCTTCCTTTAAAGGAGAGAAGAACAATTACAAGTGAAGATTGATTCTATGATCAGAATTATTAACTCAATTTCTTTGGATATTTTATTTCACTGATAATTGAAACTGCCTACTAAAAACTTTGCAAAGATTTCCTGCAAGTTATTTACAAATAAATGTTAGGTAAACCATTTAAAATACCAAAATCAGTAAAAAAATATCAGTAGTACAGAAAATTCCTGTTATTTTTAATGTCATTTACAAGTAAACTATTATAAAAATGAATCTCATTGTATGCGCTGAGGAGCTGTTTTGATTGAAGTTTGTTAGTGTTTTTCTTTTTGTTTTATTTTGTTGCCTGGATGTTGTGCTAGAGTGTGTTTCTTTGCTATGATTTCAGTTACAAAACCTGCCTGTAGTGTGAGTATACCTCCCAGTATCCCCTCAGTTAGACCTCTCAGCAGTGCTATACGCTCACCTAACCTGGCTCAACGGCTGGCTTCACCTCTGCCTAGGCCAGTAATGTCAATGCCAGTTAGACCCCCTGTTATGCCACGACCTCCACTCTTTAACCCAGGTGTTCCAGGGCAGCAGACAGTGCAGAGACCAGTGAACCCGTTAACAGCACCTGTACAGAATATCTCCAGCAATACCATTACTATGCCGACATATGCCAACACAGGTGGAATTCTTGCACAAGGATTTGTCTCAAGCCAAGAGAGTAGTTGTGTAACCAGCACTGTTGTGAATACACCCCCATCTTCTAAATCAAAGCCAGTAGTTGTTAAGCGTAAGGGAAGCAGCAAGAAAAATGCTCCAATATTACCACGACCTGAACAGAATGCTTCAGGCAATCTACCGAATATTGTACCAAGAATAACGCCTAGTAATATTAATCAGCAAACAGTAGTTCAGCAACCAGTTATACAAAATGTTCAGTTCACTACTCAAGATGTAGTGTACCAGACAGTTGACGCACAAAATCCCGAAGCAAAAGTTATGGTGAAAACATTATTAGCTAAGAAAATACGTCAGGGTAATGTTATAATTCAACAACCTGTTCAGGGAATGATGAATGTTGATTTAAGTGGCGCAGGAGATGGTCAGACTATTCAATACCAAACAGGATTTCCACAGTCCCAAACTACGTACATTCAGTATGCTGCACCTAGCAGTACAATACAGACTGGTGGTCAAACTTTCATTCAGTCTCAGCCCACATCCCAAGTTCAAACCTACGTGGTTCAGCCTGGTGATGTTTACGTTCAAGGTCAGATACCAGCTTCTAGTCTTAATACACAAATGGTAGCTCAACAAGCACCTATGATGGTTGCACCTCAACAGCAAATCCTTACTCAGTCACAGGGTATGGTTTCCCAGCAACAAATGGTGGTAAATTCACAGCAACCAGTGTTTGTTTCACAGCATCAATTTATGACACAGCAGCCACTCATTCAGTCTCAATCCATGCCGAATCCTCAGTTTGTAACACAGCAAGTCGTGGTACAACCACAGATGACAGCTGATTTGCAGACATCTCAAATTCCATTACAAATGTCATCATCATCATTATCATCAGCTCCATCAAATATCGCAACTGCATCATTATCGCTATCATCAGTGAATTCATCAACGGGAGCGGTGTATTCTGTTAGTGCTAGTCAGTCAAATGTTAATTACACAGAGACAAATAACTCCACACTGTCAAATGGTCAGCAATCTCTAAATACTGGTATTTTTGAAGATGTTGTCAGTGACGTGCAAAAAGTTGAAAACAATCCAAGTGAAACTGATTCATTGAAACCGTCCAGTGTTGAAAATACAAACAATTCTACCAGTAATTTGGAATCTGAATCAAAACTAGATCTCTCTTCAACTGATGCTGTTGCAGAAATAGAATCTGCAGTAGGATCAATCATGGACGATGGTTCAGAGTCCCAAGATGAGCCTGTAATGATAGAAAATGACGGAAATGAGTTAATGTTTGAGCAAAAATACCAAGTGAATAGTGAGAGAGTTCAGTATGATAATGTAAATAACACTACTGAAGTGTATGAGTCTGACGAAGCTGCCATGGCTGTTGAACAGCTTGAACAAATGGAGCATTCTGGTGAAGTAGATGAAAATGATCTGGTTGAAACTGTTACAAATGAGTGTACTGAAGAATCAATGGATATTAATGAAAGTAATGAAGCAATTGTTGGAAACGATCAAATGTTAAACGATCAAATAACAGATAATGAAGAGTGTGTTTTAAATGGGGATTTTAAAGAAAGTAGTGTAGAGAAAGAGGCATTAGTTTCTGATGCTGAATTGATTGCCAAGTTCAGGTCAGAAACACCAATTAATGTTCCAATAGTATCAGAGAATGGCTTGCTTGAACAGGACTTTGAAGCAAGAATGGCAGTTGAGAATCTCTTAAAAGATGTAGAATTTAAAGTAAGTTCTACAGATGAAGATAGTTTAGAAGGCAATGTGAATGTAATTCTGTGTCAGACTGAAAATCCAAGCTCAGTGAAAACTACAAGTTCAGGTGGTGACAATGAAATTCCGCCGGTTGAAGACAGTGAAGATAGTGTTGTGTCAGAATCTCAAACAATTTCAAAAACTAATGTAGTAAATCATAATGGTCCATCTATCACAGACAAATCATCAGAAAACAATTCTCATGTGTTACAAAATGGCATAGACAATGGCGTGAGTAAACCATTACTGAATGGTGACATAAGTTCTCCTGAGTGTCCTTCAGTGCCTTCCCCTGGGTTAGTAAATGGGGGAGAAACCACAAAACTAGTCAATGGAATAACTGAGGAAGATATTGATACCAAATCTGTTGATAAAATTATCAGAATGAACGGAGTGGTAAATCATAAAGTGTCTCCTGTATCTCCTATAAAACAGGAGGAAACCAAAATTGACTCTGAAAACAATGTTGAGAAAACAGATGAGTCATTAGAACAAACGATATTAAATAAAAGTGAGGATATTTTAGCACAAAGCATGATAGATAGTAATATAGATAAGAATAGTGAAGACAGCAATGATCAGACTGAAAAGTGTGAAAGTGTTTCAAATAAAGATGATAAGACATTGTCTGATGGGGACATTCTGGCACGTAGTATTTTTGAAAATGATATTCAGCCAAGTGACTGTGAAATGCCAGAACCTGAACCAACCAGTGTGACGGCAGTAGTTAAACAAATCATACCAAATACCATGTACGGCAATATAATGACTGTTCAAATTAACAATAATACTATACCCATTACATTTACGAACAATGCCATTATTTCATCCAAAAACTCGTTAGGTAATCAAATTAATGTGTGTAGTTCTCGGCACATCCCGACACCGGAATCAGCGCGGGACGGGGAATTGAGTTGTGATAGCACCACATCATCAACAGCTAATTCAGACTTGAGTTCCGTAGTTAGTGATAAACATTCCATAGCTGTCTCACAGTCAAAAACTAGCCATAAAGACTCCAAGAAATCTCTCGCCAGTCCTAAATCTAGTGATAGTGGTAAAAAGTCGAAAGCGAAGAAGCGTAGTCGGAGCAAATCTGGTGGTAGTGGATCGACTGACTCGCGACCTTCATCTGCTACATCACCAGCTGCTGCTTCATCATCACTGCCAGAGTACATGTGTGAATGGACTCAGTGTAAACAGTAAGTGTCATTTCTTTTACTTAAAACCGAAGGTTCCCCCAGGGACTTTTGTTTCTTTCATACTGTAACCTTAGTGCAGTATTGGGTTAAGTCCTAAATTTAATAGGAGTATTGCACTAAGGTGAGTATATGAGAAAGGTATTCAGCTGAAGTTCGAAAAGTCAGTGGTTTTACTTGGGTGCTTAACCTGTGCCACTTAAAACCGAAACAACTTGGTAAACATGTATTCAAAAATGATTATTTTATATTGTTGTAACATGTAAGGTTTTTTTGTTTTCAAAATCCAATATTGCATTTTTATCTGCAAATATCAAAATACATTTTTGATGTTCATGAATTTGGCAATATTGATATTGATCAATTATGTAAATACTTGTGAATTTTATTATTTTTAAGTGATAGCATTATGAAAAATGTATTTATATCTTGGCCAAGCATAAAGTTTTATTTGCATGTAGTTCTTATAGTTGATGGATTTACATCTGTTGCCAAAATGTTGATGAATATGCTTTTAAAAACTCTAGGGCTTGTTGGTTCAATGCATACTTCATGAACACGTTATGCTTGCAGAGTGGTTATGCTGTCAGCAATGACACTTTTATTTGAAAATAAGTTAAAAAAATAGTTTAAACCATCATTAATAAGTACATAGAATTTGATGAAAAAATGGTTTATATATGAATCTGTTTGTTTCTCTCCTTTTAACCATTAACCTGCTGAAAGTTAAAAGCCCTTGCCACCAGTATAAAACCAGACCAGCCTACACTTCTGTACATGATGATCAGGATCTTATATTATTGGTTGACCAGAATGGAAACTGGACAAGACGATTCAAGAAATTCAGCTGGTTAATGGGTTAAACAAACCATTTCATGTATTTAGACAGTATCATTAGCATGGAATTGAAAATACCATAATTTTGTATAGTTTTTGTACTATATACAAAACATTGTCATAATTTGTTGTGTCTTATTCAGGTGCTTTGACAATGCTCGTAGTGTATTTTATCATGTGTGTAGTACCCATCTGAAGACGGAGTATGATGGGTTGTGTAAATGGGAAGGTTGTGAATCATTAGTCAGGAAAAGATGGTCTCTCTTTACTCATGTACAGGTATGTTTCTGTTTATTTGTTCTTAAAAACTACACTTTCACCAGATTGTCTGATTTTAGGCCACAACAATGGAGTGATTTAATGTTTTGTTGAAATGCTTTGTGATCTTTGCGTATGGATTGGCTGATGTGTAACCTTTTCAACTAAGGGGTTGCAACTGTACAGAATTGTATTGCATTCCTACATACTTAAATATTGTAATTTGACGAATGAACAGATTGACTGTCTGTCATTCAAGGCTTTAAACAGTTGATGGCTGCATGTTTATTATACAAGTAAACTCTGTTAACTGTTTTCAGTAATTTAAAAGGAATAATTTTGACTTAAGTAAACCATAATTTGGTTCTATTCAGTTCTAATCTTTAGCTCAGTTATAAACTATAGACAAATTATGAAATTTAAAAACTTCATATAATACTTAGGGTGATAGTTGACAGTAAAAATTGTTTTTCCCTTAATTTCTAATACTACCATTTTCACTTGTTTTGAACAAGTTTGAATTAAGAATTTTGTATGTTTACTATAGGACCATCATTGTTCAGAAAGTTCTCTTCGGGTGGCTGCTCAGCGCAGATTACAGTCATTCCAGACTGGTCAGAAGATAGCCGCCCCCACCATTCCAGCAATGGTTTATCCTAACGATGCAGCTAATCAGGCCATTAAGAGATTCCTACCTAAACCACCATATCCAGAGTTCTTGGTAAGTTTTGTGAATTCTTCCAGCTGGTATTAATTGTATTAAGTTTTTACAACATGATTAACAACTATGATAGATATGTGTACATGGGCTTCTCCTTCCTTGAATTTAGAACTGTTGATTGTAAGGATTCAAAATGGCAATGTGGCCAAGTGGTCAACACGTCAGACTAGTAATCTAAGGATTGCTGAGCCCATATGTTCAAACCCTGTCAGGGGCAAGCTGTTGTTTCCTTGAGCAAGAAACTTTACATTCATTGTTTAGTAGTGGTTGGTTCCAGGAACGGATTCAAGAGTGTTTCAATAAGCTAATAGCTTCCAACACAATCAAACTAAAATTAATTTGTATAAACGAAAATGATTAAATTTTTGATATATTTAACCAGTCATAGTATAGAGCCTGATGTTACTTTATGGATGTTTAGGCTGGCTTGATTCTGTATTGGTTGGTGCCATGAGCACATCAGGACCATCATTCGCAAGTCTAACATTTAAAATGTTATGTTTATCAATATTTACTGTCTTTTGACTTTGTAACAGATGAAAAGGTCAATTTAGAGCAGTTAATACGTCAAGAATATGTATTTCATTCTGTAATAATCTTTCAAATGTGAGGTTTATTTTGATTGAAAAATGTAAGTTTTAAAAGTAAATGAAAATTGTACATGCCCATAATGATAATAGACAGCTTGTCAAGTGGATCTTGTGACTGAATTATATTAAATTTATGTAGTATATTTTTTGTTAAATTCATTCATGGAAAAAGAATTAAAGCTATGATATATGTTATTGTATTACAGGAAGGAAGAGAAGGGCCAGTCACCAAACATATACGTCTCACCTCAGCTCTTATCCTACGTAACCTGGCTAAATACTCCGCTGCTGGCAGAAGGTAGGCATTTCGTTAATATTGACAGTGATACTAGGTAGTCTTGCTTCAAAACTGATTTAAAATAAGCTACTTTCTAAAGATGATGCAGTACTTTAATCAAAGATAATAGTATTGGTTAGATCTTATTAATAAAATGAAATTTTATTGTATGTTTTGAAAAGCATTGGTTTGTAATGCCCCCAATTGGGGTGATACAGAATAGCCCTTATTCGTGGACTGACAAAACAGTGGAATAAACAGTGGAATGAGGGGGGTATCCATATCTTATGAACACATTTCTAGAGTATTAATATGTCAGTATAACAGGTGTTACAATTTCTGCAGTAAGGTACATAAGATACTTTTGTAACTGTAATAAAATTACAAAATTTGACTTTTAATTCCTTTTCTTCAATACTTCCACAACAGAATGAAATAATGTTTCATTAGACTTTAAGAATGATATGATCATATTTATAACATTCAGTATTTAAGAATATTTTAATTTTTTGTTACAGTTTACTAAAGAAACATGAGCGAGTGATCAGCTATACTTGTATGAGTGCCGTAGAATCGTCAACAGCTCTTGCCAAATGCCTTCACGAGATCGTCAAAGACCAGTGACCTATTCTTGTCTCTAAATAAGACTGTAACCAATGAACGTACGATAATCTCAGCATCAGACTGTGTACCAGTCCGGGATTCTGCCAGAAAGTGACCACAACCAGTCCAAATAACCTATTTTTGGACAATGAAAAACTAGAGTAACAGCTTATAAAGGTGCAGACTAAACAACCAGTAGAAGAACTTAAGTGTAACTGATGTTATGTGAACACTTATCTGTTGTTATGTTTGTCCCTGTAATGTTATAATCCCTGTGGACCAGTGGTGTTGAGAAGTCAGTCAAACTTGGTTCTCTCGTTGTTTTAAACTTACAAAGCCATTCTTAACTTGTGAATCTGTAATAAGTCGAGAAACTACATTCTGTTAAAATGAAAAATTTAAAAGAGCTGTGTCAAAAAGAAATATGGTTTACGCTTTAAATTTTTTAATCTCCTTAAAATACCTCAGTTGATTATGTACAAGCATGTACATTATTTGTATTTAAGTTTGAGATTTCAATTCATAAGATTAACATAATTGATGATAAAAGCAATTTATTATTAACGGGCAAAATATGTTGATATGAAACTCTGCAATTATTTGTGGAGAAATTGTGAGATTCATTGTAGTGGATATGATAGATTTGGGAAGTTAGAAGTCCTACTGTTTAACAAGTGTGACTGTATTGTAGCTTATAGAGATACCAGTCTTAAAGAAATGAGCCGCGTCACGACAAAACCAACAAAGTGCGTTTACGACCAGCATGGATCCAGACCAGCCTGCACATCCGTGCAGTCTGATCAGGATCCATGCTGTTCGCTATCAGTTTCTCTACTTGTAATAGAGTTGGTAAGCGAACAGCATGGATCCTGATCAGACTGCGCAGATGCGCAGGCTGGTCTTGATCCATGCTGGTCGCAAACCCATTATGTTGGTTTTGTCATGACGCGGCTCAAATGGCAACTTGTAGAAGTAGTTGCCACTAAATCTCTAAAAGAGTTAAATGTCAGGTCTACAAACTTATAAGGTTAGGAGGACAGGTCTTTTATCATTTAACATTTTCTCTTGAATTATTTAGTTTCAGAATTGTTGAGAGGTATTTGATAGACAAGTGGTTTATAGGTATATAAGTTCCATTCTGTGTTTAAAGATATTAAACAAAATGCAGAGATTTTTGTAAAGGTATTATCAATGTTTACTGACAGACTACTCTAAGACAGGTGGAAAAGTTTATTTTTGTCCCATACTTTAAAAGTATTATTTTCAAGAAAATGAAGTGGTAGACTATATGTGCTTTGTGAATATTGACTCAAAGATTATAATGTTACCTGATTTACTCCTGAATTTGGTATCAAAGTTTGATGCCATAGAATTCAGTAAGATGAATTGTGCATTATGAAAGTAAGATTTCAAATCAAATATCGAGGTATTATCTGGTAATTTGGTTGTGGTATTTTTTTTTTCATTTTTTTTTTTTTTTTTTTTACTTTTTAAGTTAAAACATGTGCTGAAATTCAGAGGTGCTTTATTTTTATCTACCGCAAAAAAGGGCAAGACTTGATGACAGATGTTGTATTTTTATCATGGTAGGCACTACTAATTCTTAGTACAGCAGTCAGCTTGTCTATATTTCCGCTGGATAAGATAGGTGTAGTTCTAAGCTCAGGTGAATATTTATGAATGGTACATCATGCCGGGAAGCTGGTTTCCATTTCCTGTATTATACTTTCTGAAACTATTAGTTACTATTGATATTGTTTAACCCTTTGTCTGCTGGCAGCAACTTAAGTATTTTATCTGCCTGCACTGCCAGCATTTCCAAGTTGTCTGATCGTTGTCTGCACTGTTTGCTATTCAGTCAGAACTTATTTTGAAATTTTACCTAAAAATGATTAATGGCTTTGTCCAGATTGAATGATGGACAAGTCCATTTTAAGATATTTAGCGTGGTAAAGTTTTAATATTTTCTAAACCCAAATCCTGCTGAAGATAACTAATGGACTTTGTCTGCTCACTTTTCTTGTTTTTGGATCTGCCTCCAGGATTAGGGATTGAATGATTTTAAAATTGAGTGACCAACAGTATACCATTAGGTCAGTTCTGACCAAGGTACATGTTAGGTCATAAACAGATGTCATATGCTGGTGTCATTATTACAGCAAGGCAGGTCAACCCTCAACCTGCGGGAACTGAAGTTGATAGCCCTCCAAGCCGTTTGACCAGGCCTTACACTGTTGGTAGCCAAATTATTGTGATCTTCATTCTGAATTCCCTTAAATATCAATTGGTCTGTTCCAAATTCATAGCTGGACAAGTTCATTACAAAAATGCAGCACCGTGAAGGTATTTTACACAAAAGCTACTCAAAACCATTATTATGTACAGATTTTTTTATATATGAGAATTGTATCTCTGTTGTTTAGTTTATCTTCCCTACTTTGTTAATTATTTATTTTTTTTTTTGCACAATTGTTGAACTACATAATACCCTACAAAAATAATGAAATTGGCTTAGAAAATTTAAGAATTTCATAATTTCTATTTTCTATTGTATAGTTCTCCCTCACAAGTCACGTGGAAGTGTATCATAAATTACTATGGATATTTAACAGTATGATAAAATATTTCTTTAATTTTAATGAAATTCTAAAATGTCTGAAGAAAACAATCCATATTTTATTGAATTAGACAAAAAGTAATGAATTGTTTGCTATATGTTATTATTTATATTTGCTATAGAAAAAGTGGCATTTTAAATAGACTTCATGCTGGTTTTCAGCAGTGTTCAAAGGGAGAGAACTGTGGGTAACTGTTTGGACCAGTAATGAAAATTATAGGTGCAATTATCTCCCTTGTTGATTGCATTAGGTTCTAGAATAGTATCTTTTTCTTTAGTTAACTCGATGTTTTTTCATCAAATAGCATAGAATAGAAATCTGTGAGTGTTTTTTTTTCACACTGATATGGAAAATATTTCCCTGTACACGCTGAGAATATCATAATTTTCACACTTTTCAGTGAGATATATTTCATATCTACTCTAAGCAAATACCCACTCTTAATTAATCAGAGAACTTATAAATGATGCTTTATACTGTAATGCCCAAAGTGTTCAAAATATTTTGTGTAAATGTAAATTTTTGTGTACATTTTATACATATAGTGTTGTAGAGTTGTCAAATATGTATATTTTGTCTTATTTATTATTATCTTGCGAGTGAAGAATACAAAACAAAATGTCCTGATTTTTATATTATAGTTGCTGGAGTGTGTATTGTGAGGAATTAAATGATTCTTGCATAAAGAATGGCCATCAGATGAAATTTAAACTTTTCTGAAATAAACTTGAGCAGTTTCTCTAATGATTTTTATAACGAAACTGAAGAAATGATTAAATATTATTATTCATAGAATTTTCGCAGATATTATGTCACACATCTTAAGTTTTAATTAGGCAAATTTTGAGGGGAAAAAAGAACTTTTTTTTTTTTTTTTAAAGATGATATATTAAAATGGAAATATATTTCAAAGCAAAAAGAGAAGATATTTTTGATAAATAATTGGATTTCTATATACCAATATAACCAGTTAATGTTTGGAAATCCACGATGATTATAATAAACTAAAAGTCTGATAAAGTATGAGTTAGTCAATACATAAATTTATAAATACTGAAGATGCAATTTTTTGAAATACATGTGATGAATGATCAATGAGCTTATATCTATGTTGCTGAAACCAAAAAATGATGATGAGCTATTGCCAACATTATAGCAAGGCCAGCCTGCACATGCGGCCAGCTTTTAATTTTCCTATCTATAATTTATTATCAAAAAAAAAATACTCTGGGCAGTTACAGAAATGGACGCCGGACGTGTCCATGTAAAGATTAATAATTAAGCAGGTTAAAGGTTAAATATTTAATTTTTGAGGAACTAGGCGGGAATTGCAACATTGATAACTGTTTCACAGATTTGTTGGTAAATATTGAATAAATGAAATTCGCAAGATCATTTCATAATCAAAACCAAATATCCTTACTCTTTTCTTTTCTTTTTGTCAGAAATTTCATGAGCTTATTATTTTCTATATTTTTATATTAAAGTGTTAGTAAAAAAAATGATATGAATTTAGTATTGAGGACGGTGCAATACAGAAAAGAAAAAAATATATATATGTTGTTATATGTAGCAATGCATGATGGGATATTGTTTATAGTGCTGACAATGAAGTATATAATGGACGAATGAAATGTTATTCACTGGGTGAAATTTCTGGATTACAGAGGAGAAAATACATTATTTACATTTTAAAATCGTATAAACACAAATTACACAAGTTTGCTTTGTATATTGCTTGAAATAAATGTGCAATTTTTTTATTACCTAAATATAGATTTTAACAAGTCGGGGCCTTTGTACATTTTGTAAATTCCTTTTTTTCCTCTCCTGTTGTCAGAAAGCTGTCTACAGTTCAAAAATGGTAGAATGTTTTGAGAATGTGGAGAAATAAAATTGAGTGCTTGTTGGTGAATATGAATGCATTAATTGTTTATGTGTATCAGAAGTAATGTCATGTTCTCTCAAATATTGTCTGTGTTTACTTAAGATATGATTTATCAAGATGTCATACCATATTTCATTGTTTTATTTCTTGTAGAATAGATGTTATGATGACAAAAATGTTTCTAAATTTAGAAAAATAAACCAATCATTGCATTTACATGAAAACACAAATATTTGTTGTTTTTTGCTGACTATACAAAATGTTGGTGATTGGAACGCCCAAATTAATGGGTACCAACTACCTACCCTGGGCTTATTTTGAGTGTACGCCAAGATGTGGTTTAGGTCAAAGGGATTACTATCAGCAGGGGTTTATGGGAGAGGAAACATGGATAGAAGAGTTTTTCAGTGTTTAAATCTTTTATCGAAATCTGATGACAATTATTTCCGTCTAATGTAATGAATACGACATCAAGTTCTATAAAAACCACAATCGTTTATTTTAAGCTCATCTTTCCTTCGTGGTGAGCTATTGTGATGGCAATGTATCAGTGACCGTCTGTGTTCAGTGTTTGATTCGTTGTTATCCATGCAACCAGTGCAGACCAAGATCAGCTTGCTCATTCGTGCATTGAAGATTATAGCACGGTAATTGTTCAACAACATGTCCTAAACACGCTCCACACTCGGCAGAAACTACAATGCCCGCAGCCTAAATATATATGGAGTGCATCACCTAGGGTATATAAATCATATCCCAAATTTGCCCACATACTAGGTATCACTTTCTTTATTCCGGTATAATATTCCATAGGCAAATACATCTTAAATCATCCGTTATGAGACTTTAAGAGGGGCATTTTTATGCCTCCACAAAGTGGGGAGCATATAGCGTTGCACTTGTCCGTACGTCTGTCCGTCCGTACGTACCGAAATCTTGTGAACGCAACTCGTCTTAAACCGGATGGCAGATTTTGCTTAAACTTCCAGGGATGAACAACCTTAATGTGTAGATGGTAGTAAAGGAAGGAATTTTTGCTGCGACCAAAATAAACAGAATTATGGCCCTTTGTTGATTTTTTCACTATATACCATATATATGTTGTCAGTGGGGGCATCCGTGTCCTTTGTACACAGTTCTAGTTTTAATTAGTGGCAACACCTAATTTTAACCATGATTTGCACGTGAAAGTACATGTACAATATATCATTGGAAAGATTATTAATTTTTCTAACGAACAGTTTTTCCGCACGATTTGCACGTGCAATACAGTTTAATCAGGTCATTTAAAACATTTGGTTTTGTAAACTGGTTGTAAACATGAAAGAGTTGCATTGTCATTTGAGAGAGGAGTAAATAGCTTACTAGTATTGCAAAATTCGTGGGTTGTTGGTAAAAATGCACGTCAGAAATAAAAACGAATATTAATTCAGATTATGGATAAAATGTCCTTCCATATCGTAAGGTGGTTGTTAATGTCTAACGGTGTTTAAAGAAGGTTAGTTTAACTAATGTAAAGGATGATCCCATGGACTGCCAATTTCTGCTACCTCTGAAAAAGACATTGTTCAGCACTGTCAAAGCCATAGTTGATATATAGCGGAGAAGATAAGTGACATATATGGCCTTAATGCGTCATATTTTTTGTATGTGTTTTCCCTCTTGAAAGAAAGGTTAAAGTTAACCAGAAAAAGGAGCGAGTTGAAAAAGCCTCGGCTTTATTGACCAGGTTCAAAAACGCCTGATAGAAATTGTCACAGGGGATGAAACGTAGCTTTATATTTTTGAGCCCGACAAAAGGCGACAATAACTCAGTAACAAAATATGGTTAGTTGAAAACTGCGATTGACGTAGCAGGAGCGTTAAAAGAGTTATGTACTCTCTAATTTTAACAGTGACCCGTGCCGCTGTGCCTAAGAGGGCTAGTGTCTCTGGAACATTATACCGTTTTCACTGCTGTTTTTTATCACTACATTACAAAGAACCCAAGGTCCGGGGTGTGCATGATCAAATTGCTCCATAATAATGCACCTACGCACCGGTAAGCCTTGGCTCAAACTTATTTAGAGGAGCAGAGAATTGAGGTTTGGCTCCATGCCGCTTATAGTCCTGACAAGTCTCTCCTTGTGACTTTTAGTTAAATCCATCCATCAAATCCTGCCTACGCGGTCTCCGGTACGAAACCTGTAATGCCGTCGGAAGCGCTCTCTACCAGTGTATAAACAATATACCCAAAGAACAGTTCAAAAATGCTTTTTTAATGAATTCTGAGGCTGGAAAAGTGTAGAGGTCCATAGTGAATATTTTGAAGGACTATGCTAATCATTTTTCACTTCACAGGAATGGCTTACTTATAAAAACGTATTGCCGTTGCCACTAATTAAAATATGCCCCTCATGCAATGCTAGGTCATACCAATCGTACTCATAGTGTCAGAAGTGCCCCCCAATCTGTGGGACACTTTGTTAAAAAACTGTCCTGAAAAATGTAAAGAGCTTTGATATTTAACATTACCAAAAGTTGCATAATTCATACCCCTGGAAACAAAATTGGACTTGTCCTGGCGGTCATTAAGTTAATATAGATTTATATAGGAAAATAATTCAAAACTTCATGTGATCCAGAGCTAAGATACGGTTTATAGAATTGCCTACTCAGTAGTGAATTTGCCCTGCAAGGGCGTCGCATTGTTTGCAATTTCTATATATACTTACATGGAAAAATACATTAATCTTTTGTGAGGCATCAACGCGAAAGCTTTTGATGTGTATTATTGCCTTGTGAACATCTTCAAAAGACATGTAAAATATGCCCCAAAACCCCACACACCTTGGGTTCATTTAGTTTACATTATACTTACACAGTCAACATTCCCTATAAATCTTTTCATCCAAAAGTACAATACCCAAAGCCCAGATAATTGGCATGTAGCATAACCGTGGGGTCCGCAACGAGTTATTTAAGTATGGTCATATTTAACCCTTGTGATATGACTAAGTGTCACTAGGGTCAAATTTTACCCACTCTCGATAGACACTCCAAGGAAACGCATTTAAATCGTATGGACAACTACAATGTAGCATTTTCTAGCCGACCTCAACAAATACTTCTTAAATGATGCACTTCTGAACAAAAATAACACACACATTGTGATCTTATTACTTGCTTAGAACTGTGTTAAAGAATTGTGACCTCTGGCAATGGATTTCAGGTGAGCGATCTAGGGTCCTCATGGCCATTTTGTTATTAATAGTTCGATAACATAATTTCAACCACTTGGTCGTTCTAGAAAGATATGTTTTCACTATAGACTTGCAAAAAAAATGTATACATAAGAAAACCTAGTACTAGTAATGTGTTTTCCGACTATTAGGCATCTACGAAGAGTTGCACAAAGTACAAAAATGTATGCATAAAATAATTATTGTGTCACACCCGGCAAGTGACGTTTGAGATTATGTAATTTGATAAAAGATAATACCACATTCTAGCTCGGTAAATTTGTCAAAGTTTATAGTTATTGATATGTATTTATGTATAGTTTTTAACCATTATTTCCTATCAATTGTGTCGCCTGCTACAAAGTAGCGGCGAGTTAAAGGGATCACTTCTCCGTCGTTTGTCTGTCTATGCGTCCGTCACAAAACTTATCCGGACTGCCGTTCAAAGACTACTGGTTTCATCCAAACTTTACAAGAATGATCAGTACCAAGTCTAGATGCGCATATCATTTCCAGTTCAATGATTTTTGTCAGAGTTATTGCACTTTATTTTATTTTTTTTAAATTTTGTCTAGACTTTTTTACCTTTTTACTGCCAATGCAATTTGAGTGAAACTTTACAGGATTGATAGATAACTCAAGTACTTGCAAATAATTAAGGGGGTTTGCAGTTTAATGATTTTTGGCTGGGTTATAGCCCTTGAATAAAAAGCGTTTTGGTATGTTAATGATTTATCTGTCTCCTGCTACTACAGTAGCTACATGCGACAAATATGGAAAATACTGGTCAACCACCCCTCAATACAACTGTTTAATTGGCTATCATCAGGCGACACATGTGATCACTGATGATATGGTAGAATAGTGTCCGGGTATGTACAATTAAAAATCTTAAAAAATGTTAAGATGCATAATTCAGCTATGAATATAGTGTATAAAAAAGTATTTATCACGTTCGGTGTTTTATCATGGATGCGCTTTATTTAAAATATTCTTATTTTTATAACGAACTATTGAGTAAAATAAAATTAAGGTAGTACACCTCTAATGCATCTCCATTTTGAAGAGAATTCTACGTGTACATCAGTAATAGATTGCCATTAGGTACTTTTACAATGCTCATTTTCACGGGGGAAGAACTGTTACACGAGGGATGGAGTTCTTATGATAACTTGTCAGGAGTTCTCGTGATAACTGTCACGGTGTTCGTCGGAAAACTTTTGTTTATACTACAGAAACCCTCGTCAAAAATCAGTCTCATTATAATCAGATCATCGCTTTGGCTCCGTTACTCTAATGGAGCGACAGTTCAGGTATGATTTTAATGAAATTGGTCAAAAATGGTCATTTTCATGATCGTACAAAGGATTTCGTGATCTGTACCATCAGGGCCCGATTCACAGCCCAACGCTCTACCCATTAAGCTGACCGGACGGTTCGATGCTAAATTGACAAAGGATCGAATGATTTATATAGGAACATCACGAGGTTCAAATGCAAACAGTTAATTGGTATGATTTTAAAAGGTGTGAAATATATATTGGTATTTTCATGAAAGTGCTATAATCATTTTCTTAACATGGTCATTATCCCGTACATGAACTAAGAGATGCCGAGATTACTTTCTATGATTATTATTGCATACATGTATAAGTATAATTAGATATATGCCCCATCCGTATTTCATTAATGAGCCTTCGTTGACTGACCGAAGTACATGTACGTATTTATACAACAGACAAAGCGGAACAAGTCGGGCCTTGACAATAATAACTGATCCGAAGTTTAACGGAAAGGGCCGAGAAGATGCGGCTGATCATAGCCTGTATCGGGCATTAACAAAGGAGCTATAGCATTTTTTGATATTTATTAGAAAACAATAAACAAAACATATAAATGCAGAGTTACGTTATTCCTAGATTATTCTTTACTTCATTAACTCTATCTTTTAATTTTGCTGCTACCGGCAACATGGACGTGTCTCGAGTTTTCTCAATTGTTTTGAAACATTTTTCTCCGCCTTTTCTCAACCATTCTTTTCTGCAGGTCCTGTAGTGTTTTAATGTAGCCAAATTTTCACTAATGACAGGTCTAAAAATATATAATAAATATATAATAAAAACGTTTGGAATGGAAACAAGAACAAAATATTGACAAATAAATTAATAAGAAACAGCTGCATGACAATAATTGTCACAAAAGCAGTTTATTTTAAACCAAAACTGTTTCAGCCAAGAAGGATCATATCATGAAAGACCAACTATATTCACCGCAATGATTCATGATGACAATTATTCTTTAAAAGTTCAGTTAAAGTCCCATAAGAAATTGATAATAGGTGGTTATGTACGGAAGTTATTGTTAAGGCCCAGCCGCCTAGTGCCATCTTCTCATAAAAGTAATTTCAACTGCCGGCATTTTGTAAATAATTATAGCATTTACCGTTTAAGTCAAAAGCCTTTATACTTAGATTACTGTGTAACACTTGTCTCAATTCCCATTAATGACCAAATATAAACAACGATATATGAATATAAAACATACTTTTTGTAAGGTCTTTTGGCCCAGTAGCCATGCGTAAACAAACGGCCGGGCTCAATCCTGTTTGCTATCACTATGGATTTCACCCGATCTCGGTAAGCTTCGGTTCTCATCGTATACGACCCGATCATAAGATCCCGAATGGAAGAACTACCATTATCTCGCCCCCAAGTTGTTGCATATATTTCTGTTTTGAATGTAAATCCTGCCGCAGTTGGGTATAAGCCGCTCAATTTTTTCTGAAAGATATTTTTTTCTCATGAATTAAATAGCAAAATACTAGGTAATGTATATGTTAATTATCTTAAACATATTGGTTTCATATTAAAGCCCATTATGCCAAAGAAATGCTTTTACTGTTGATTCCAAAAAGCTTTTTTTCAGTGTCCTCTAAAAGATTCCAAAATGATACTCATTGGCCATTTATCTGAACAGTTTATTGCTTCAGTTACTTTTTTTTGCAATTACATGTAGAATAGTTATAGTGATTAATTACTTTGTATGAAAGTCAAAATACTTCTTTGTTTATATTTTGCGACTTCTATGACAAATTAATTTAGATTCAATGCTATTTTCTTCCATCAATCAACATGTTAATATGCCTTTAAAGTTAAACTATTATGCAAACGTTTAAAATCATGTTTGCTCTTTTTAAAGAAGAAAAAAAATCACTTCTGAGGCATAATGTGCCTTTAAACAGATAATTAGTATTTGAGCGATGTTTTAATGTTATAAATGCATGCCGTTACTTGAACCTTTTGTGAGCAAAGAAACGAAATACTTCATATAAAAGATACATACTAGCTGTAAGCCCGACCCTGTGTAGATTAGTAAGCAGATACTGTTAATTTTGTTGTTAGAAGAAGAAAAACATCGATTTGTGTTTTAAAAAATGTTTTCAGTTGAAGAAAAGCGACCTTTAAAAAGTCAATCTTTTCGTAAGTCCTCGGAAAACTTTGATTATGGGTAATTGTCAAGGTGTTCCGAAAAATAAATTGATAATAACTTACCAGGAATTTAGGCAAGCTACTGGTTTCATTTTGATGTAAGAATTCGTCTACGTCATATAAAGCAATGTATGTGTGACCAGATAATTTCGCCTGACAGTCATACACAGGAACTTGTTCGTCATTCCAACCTTGGAAATTTTTTATGCCTACACCACGTTCTTGATCACCTGTTCAAATGATATAGATCTACATGTTAATATAGCAATATTAATTTTGTTGCAATGAGCTTAGAGGTTCTACAAAACTTTACACGTTTTCTCTTGTTATAGATGTACGTTCATTATAACTGAATGTGTTTTACGGGAGAGTTCCCTGGAGGGAAAGCAAGCTCTATTTCCAAAGTTATGGTGATATTTACCATATTCCTCCTTTAATATAAAATAAAATAACATATTAATCAACCTCACCAATTTGCGGATTCTTGAATGGAAATGCTTCACAAAATCCTGATGATTTGTAATATTTTACAACACTCATGGCGTTCGCATTTAGATTGTGTGTATACAGCATGACTTTACTAACGCCAATCATTTTCTGGTACTCAAACCATTCAATTATAGCCGAAGCTGAAATATTTTCGTAAACTAATTTGGCACAAACTGCGACCGTATCCGGCTCTTCTTTCTTCGGATAGTCTACTATTAAATACTTGGACTTATTTTTCGGACAGTTTTTATCCATTCCTAGCGATACAGCTTTTGGTACCCGATTCAGTCCGCGCAAAAAGTTAGGACATATGTACTGTTTCACTTCAAGTTTAGACTTCCCGACATAGTACCAGTTATGCTTTTCGGAAAGATTGGTCTTCATGATGTCATTTTCATTAGGTGCATAGATCAAACAGCACGTAATTTCCGGATTATAAAATTTTGACCACATTCTGTTTTCCCAGCCACTTAAATATATTGTTTCTACGCCCGCACCTACTGTAGAATTGTAAGCTATTGCACTGTATATGTGAATGTTATTTTCAATCAAGGAAACAAACGTGTCCTTATTTTGGACTCCGGAATTCGAGGTCACGTGGTAAAAATGATCGCGTTCTGCCGTGTTTCTAAAGCTCCTTATCTGAAATGAAAAAATAAAATTCAAATTTAATCAATATTGGATGTGTATTATCTTAAAAGTAAGGATTATATCGAACATTTTAATATAATTCTAGTTTTGGGTCACAATGTAAGGCAATCTCCAAATAAAAGCTAGAATTGCCTTTCCGGAAAAGAGCAATTAATACAATGTTTACGCCGTCAACAAAAAGTTTTAGAAACACGCAAAATGATGATGAACATGACTCCAATAATACAGGGAACAATAATAGAATGCAAAAGCTGGTTGACTTTGGTGCGTGACCAGATTATCGTGATAATTATGTCCTATTATTTTTTTCTTGAATTAATATGGTGGCTGAAACAGTCTATTACGTTCGTTCGTATTGCAAGGTGTGAAATTGCAAAAAATACTCAAAGTTTCTGAGCTTCATTCGGAAACAGCGGCAATGTATTGTTTAGTAATTATGTACTGGGATTAATGAAAGAACGACCATATTCCATTTGATGCGCATAACATGTCGAAAGAGAGCGTTTAAATGAAACCACTCGCATGACAAGACGCCATTATCGGCGCCATTCTGTCGTGTTCACTGAATCGTTGTTTTTTCCTTCCGTGTAGTCTCAAATCAAACTTCAAAAATTACACCGCTGTAACCTATCCATAGTCTGTATCTTGGCAGTTATAAAACTTTTAAACAATCTGTAAACGATACAGCACCACTTTTTCGCCAATGTGTTCGAATATATAGTATCATTTTTTCGGAAAGCATTTGTTGCCATTTAGTTTTTGTATTTTCTGATCGCAGATCAGATAATACATAGCTAACATCCACGGTCTAACACAAAATTTCCAAACAGTCCTAACAACGCAAATTAGTTCTCACTCAAAACTGCTTAAAAACCAGCAATTTAAAAGAAAGAACACTTTTTTGTTACAAGTGTTCAACAAATCACTACACCATCAAACTTTCAAAGTAGCGTTGGCTAATAGAGTTGTCAATAAACGCACACTCATAAATTACGCGGATGAATGATTTTAATCAATGAAAATGCTATTTTAGCGATGTCGATTACCGAATACTACACAAATAAATCTGACTGCCGAGTAGTTGAATATATAGTTTCTACATGTTGGACTGTTTGGGCGAGAAGATTTTTGCTAAATTATTTATTTTAATTTTAAACAACATGTTTACCCTGAACAAAATACCTCAAAATTAACTTAACCCGAAATGCAATGGAAATTCTAAATTTAGAATCACTTGATTTTATTCAGCTTTTGATTTTAAAACTTCTCCGTGGTGCAGGGGTAACGCGCTCGTTTGGTGTGTGAGAGGTCTGGAGTTCTAATCCCAGTCGAATTAACATTTTTAAATTCTTTTTTTTTTTTTAGTGTCTTTGTTAAGGAAATAGCCAAGATATGCAAGGGTAAAGTGTGGCTATCATAAAAAATTAACATAATTTTTTTGTTGCAACTCTAGTTATGCAAAATTCCGTATGTATCAAACTCTGGTGCCCTTCAAGATGACTTATAGTACATAAAAATAAACTTATACAGGAAAACACATACAGATATACAGTACGATTTAGATTGCAGGGATCAGAAAATACCACTGAGCTTGCAGCCCTTTGATTATTTAAATGATATCTGACGTTGATTTCTGCTCAATACAGATGAGGTCTGATAGAAGAGCATTTTTAGGCTTAACTGAAAGACAAGACTATACAACAACTGTTAAACACGAATGTCAAAAAACGAAACAAACCAAAGCAACAAATATAATATTATTTTACAAAATATAAAAGATAAAATAAAATCTTACATTAAGTTTTGAGGTAATAGTGTACATGGTTGCCAGAGAGAGGTTATGTAGAAGTGCAAACACGACGATTATCCAACTTGCCACCATGCACATACGGTATAGTTTCTTTGTTGAGAATTTCTTCAACACACTGTTGTAATAAAAAAGCAACATCTTATTAAAATTGAATTTTACAATGACTGATTATTTGATAGATCTGTAAATATAACAGATATCATTAAAATTTTTCACAACTTATTTTTTTATCACAATTTAGAACAGTGTAATCTTCATGCCATGTAAATACATCGACGCGCCGTGAAATAATACTGCAAAGTGCATGCTATGAGGTGAGTACACTGTGTACTTTTCTAATGTTATTGCCCTATTACTATCCAATGACAAAGACTTTTATGAAAACATTCTGAATACAAAGGACGTCCGGTGCCAGGTCAAAAAAGGAACAATGCCAATTGGAATTAGTTTTATATTGCTCGATAGATCTATATAGATAAAAAGGTCATCATTATCACAGAACATGCATTTATATAATCTGTATCATCGAAATGTTTGAGTGACAATTTTTCCCCCACATGATCTTTTTAAAAGAGAACAAGAAAACTTCTAAATAAAACTTAGACGAACATTTGAAATTTAATTGTTTAAAAAAATATCTGTAGAAAATAAATATTAATTTGACAAGATCAACTAATATTGTTTGGTTTTCGGTATACATGTATATATGAAATACCAACAAATGCTTCATCTTATATATTTTTTTTCACATTAATAGAAATGTGTGGTGTATTTTCCCATCTGTCAAACAGGCTGATGTTGTGTATACAAATGATACATTTTTTGCAATATGAAAGATTGCTTTTCTGTGGTAATGCGCCCCACCCCCCATAAAATAATACATAATAAAAGTAAAAACAAATATTATACGGTATATAAATACTACTTTGTTGGATGTGTAGATGTATATTCTAAGACAATGTATTTCCTTACAAGGACGGAAGATATTATGGAAAACTAATAATGAATCATCTCACATTTCAATATATACGAGTATTCTGAAAAAATATATTAGTAGAAATCCTTCAATCGGCACGCCGCCGGAATTCACATTATTTTTTGATAAATATAGACACAAAAATGTTCTCATCAATTTACAGGCTCCTTAAAATGTCAGCAAATTGTAAGGCTATACAATACATTCAAAGCCGGTTTGTGATTGTGCGTTGGGTTCTAAAACAAAGATAACGTGGGTCCCAACACTTTTGGTTAGATATTTTGCGGGCGGTGATGAGGGTACGACCTTAATTATCAATTTTACGACCTCCGAGTTTTTATCACAATAGAAATGAAATAAGTACAGATAAAAAACGTTTTTAGTCAATGTCCTTTTTAAAGTTTGATAAATCCACATCCATGTTTTCGTCATGTAAATTCACAAACAAATTTTCTCCAGTGTTTAAGTAGACGAAAGGGGCTTACCTGTATTTGCTTCTCATAACTGGCATTTTCTATCACATTATTAAAGACGTATTTTATAGTATTAAAAACACATTTTTTATTTTAAAAATTGAAATTTAGATCTACATATTCCAAATAATACAGAATAAAGTACAATTTTTGGGCACATTTTTTATTTACTATCTCATCGTGTTAGAATGATATTTTTCAGTAACAACATTTTTTTTCTAAAAGTACTAAAAATATTCATATTTTATTAAAGATGAAGTTCTTTATGCCCTTTGGGTTAAATTGGCTTTTACCTAATGAAATGGCATTTATGATAACGGTTGTCCATATTGAATCACTGGCCTTGAGCGATTTTAGTTAATTAAAAAATCTCTCAGATGATAATATTAGATTGTTGTTGTTTGCTATTGTCTGTGTTTTTGTTTAAATAAATAATGATAAAAACGCCGCTGACATCATATTTAATGGCATATATTTAACTTGAAGCAGAAGATTAAATAATATAAGTATTGTTGGATTTGTGTTTCAGCAAAGCCACTATTGGATGAAATGAATTCAACTTTCAAACTTCCATTATTCCATATTGCCATTTGATATTTTTTGGTTTGAGTTTTACAACGATGTATGGTGGCTAATTTGTGCCATGTTGTATTTTCACCGGCAGACACAAGAGGCGAAAACACTTTACTACGACAAAGTAATGACTTGGTCGTACTTTCATCACTTTGTGACACTGTTTAAATCCTTTTAAAGTTTCCTGTATTATTTGCAAGACAGGACAATAAGTTCCCTGTAACCTTTTAGGACTTTTAAAGGCAATTCGTTGGAAACAATTAAACAGTTATAGGTATTGTCTGGGTTTTTTTTAAAGAAAAGTCTAAAAAAAATGTTTTGACAATATTCATGTATTCAAATCAAATATGATTACTAGTATATTGATGACGATATTGATTCTTGTTCTGGTTGTAGAGGAAACGATATGTAATGGTGATGATAAATCAGCACAAGGATAATTATAAAGATGGTGTTTATATGATATTTGCTGGAAGGCAAATTTTCAATAGCGGTATTCAACCTAATCATTCGGCTCTTTCCGTAAAACTCCGAGTAATAATCGCCGCCCTCCAAGATTGAAGGGATATTATACATATTGACACTTAACAATAACATAAATTTGGCTGTGAAATCTTAGAATATAAACGGCACAATGCACAATTGTTATGACACAGAAGGTCTTTCATTGTGCTCAAGGTTAGGGAAATCTTTTATTGTATTGTAGAAATTTCTCGCCCCTTTAATCATGATATTTTATATTTGACAGTATACAGAATGCTCTGTTTATGAAAACTAACATTGACGGTTTTAGATAACCTTAGATACAATCATTATAATAAATAAAAGAAAGAAGCCGACAACAGTGCGAAAAATGTAACCCACCGTCACGTGTCAAAACTTAGATTGAATCCTGTGAAACATTAACGAATACTAATGAAGCCTGTATACACATTGCCAAAACTGCTATTGGACACATTAGAAATCTGTAAATTTATCTCGAAGTTTCTCAGTTTATATCAACAATATCTCGGTATGCAAAATATAGATAAAACGAGAAACACAGCCACAATATTATATTTTCACGATTGATGATAAGCGGGTACATGCTTAAGTCAAAATTGTTCGTTACTAAAACTGAGATAAATACCTATAAAGCCGGCCAAGCAATTATCATAATTGCTACAGAATACCCTGGAAACAAGCATATTCACGAAGGCCCGCACACATTTTGCCAAGAACTGCGATAAAACCAAAAGAAATAATCTTCTCTTGCCTTTGTTTGTTGTTTTCAGAGTCACCCGCTTTCTTCCCGTCCCCACGATGAATAGTCCTTTTGTTGTGCACCACTTCGACTTCAGACATTTTTTGGCATTATTTTTTTCTCTCAGTCAAAACAATTTTAGATGTATTCGTTTGTTATAAAAGAAAACACTACATCAATTAACTTCACAAGGAACCTCTTGCAATTATCTCACGCTCAAAAACATCTCACGTTTTCTGCGCATCGTTTGGAAAGTTACCCATTCTGTGCCAGTGACAATTGAATGATTCGTTCATTTTTCTGAGAGAGGTTTTAAGATATTGCACGTTTTCTGCAAAAATTTAAGAAACTGGCTCACGTTTTTCTGATATTCTATATTTTGTATGCGATCTTAAAAAGGAATCTCACGTTTTCTGCACGAGGTTTGGCAAATTACTCACGTATTCCAAATATTTCCTGCATGAATAATGTCTCACGTTTTCTGCACAAGGTTTGGAAAATTGCTCACGTATTCCAACTTTTTCCTGAATAAGTTCTCACGTTTTCTGCACAAGGTTTGGAAAAATGCTCACGTATTCCAAGTATTTACTGAATAAGGTCTTACGTTTTCTGCACAAGGTTTAGAAAATAACTCACTATTACAAATATTTCCTGAATAAGGTCTCACATTTTCTGTCCAAAGTTTGATCGTTGTTGCACATTTTGCATTTTTAACTGCTTTTCACGTTTTCTGTACAGATTTTGAGCGGGTCTCTCATTTTCTATAAACGGCGTCTGAAGTTTCCTGAACGAGGTTAAATATTATTGCCGCGAAGTTTTCCTTTAGTTTTATTCATTTATATACAAGACATAAAAAATAAAGAACCTTACATAATTATACCATTGTTCACATTTAGTCAAGTTAGTAAACATAAATAAATCTTTCAATAACAGAAATCGAGTGAAATCCAATGTGTATATATATAACTTAACTTTAAAGTCATTTTATAGTTCAATATTAGGCATTTACCTCCGCGATATATCAACGTTTATATTGACAATTTCAACGAATAGTCAAATCTACCAATCTTGTTATAGAGACACAATAATTATGGTACAATTTATTTTTGTTGTACTGTTTACTAACGTAATCAAGCGTCAACTAAAACGAAATCTGATCCCTTTGCATTGAGCACCGTAACTGAATACATTCTAGTTAAATGGTAACTGAACATGACATTGTGCAAACCTTTTTGTTTGGCATGACGATCGGAATGATAAATTGACACAAAATAATCATTACTCTTTTTTCTATCACTACACGTTTTCATTGTTCATCATATTAAATTTTATTATCTTTATTCTATAAGTAAATATCCGATATTTGTTTAGTTATAAAAATATAGCCTTCTATAACATAACATTTTCAATGAGCCTGTTTGAATTGAAGAATTCTAGCTGAGCATTGATTTTTAGCATAGAATTGTGCGATCAAGCGTTTGTTTAAAGACAATTAGGTCTCAGAAATGCTGTCATTTTCATTTATCAAAACCTGAGCCGCGTCACGACAAAACCATCATAATGGGTTTGCGACCAGCATGGATCGAGACCAGCCTTTGCATCCGCGCAGTCTGATCAGGATCCATGCTGTTCGCTATCAGTTTCTCTTCTTGTAATAGAGTTGGTAAGCGAACTGCATGGGTCCTGATCAGACTGCGCGAATGCGCAGGCTGGTCTGGATCCATGCTGGTCGCATACCCATTATGTTGGTTTTGTCGTGACGCGGCTCAAATACTCATTAACTATCTTTCGCTTCTTTTGCTTTGTGACAATTGGTATAATTATGAATATAGAGTTTTTATTTTGTTTGGAAGTCAAAATACTAATTCGTTTACATTTCCCTACTTTTAAAACACATTGCTGCACAGTCAACGCTACTTTTTGCCGTAAGACGCTCTAAAATCATTATTAAAGTATTAATTAACACATAATAGACTTTTCTAAAGAATTAAACGATTATTAATTTCTGAGGCATAATGCGCCTTTAACAGAAAAGTTATTTATGTATCGAACACAATATTCCAGTCTAGTCGTTTTGTTCGTTTATAATAAATGTTTCAGTTCAATTTTTAAAAGTAATATTAAGCTCACATTTTCATTGTCAAACTGAGAGTATTATTACTTTGTAAATTCATATTTCAAAAGATTAAATATTTCAAAGGCCATTGAAAAAAAATGTTTAGGATATAAAATATAAACAAGAGGGCCATGATGGCCCTGGATCGCTCACCTGACACAACCGCATCCAAGCAATGTCTTAAACAAGCATCATGACCAAGTTTGATGCGACTGAGTCAAACATGTGACCTCTAGTGTGTTATAAAGATTTTTCCATATTTGGGCAATGTGACCTAATTTTTGACTGGACACGACCCATATTCAAACTTGACCTAGAAATCATCAAAAACAACCTTCCTGACCAATTTCCAGGAAATTTGATCAAAACAGCAGCCACTAGAGTGTTAAAAAGATTTTTCTATTTTTTTTAGCTCCTGTGACCTAGTTTTTGACCAGACATGACCAATCTTAGCACTTGACCCAGAAAACATCAAAACAACATTCTTGACAAATTTCCTGAATATTTGAATAAAACTGCAGCCACTAGAGTGTAAACAAGCTTTTTTCTATTTTTTAACTCCTGTGACCTAGTTTTTGACCTGAGATGGCCCATCTTCGAACTTGACCTAGAAAGCATCAAAACAACCTTCCTGACAAATTTCCAGAATATTTGAATCAATACTGCAGCCACTAGAGTGTTAACAAGCTTTTTCTATTTTTAGCTCCTGTGACCTAGTTTTTGACCCGGAGATAACCCATTCTTCGAACTTGACCTAGAAATCATCAAAACAACCTTTCTGACAAATTTCCAGAATGTTTGGATGAAAACTGCAACCATTAGAGTGTTAACAAGCTTTTTCTATTTTTAGCTCCTGTGACCTAGTTTTTTGACCAGGACATGACCCATCTTCGAACTTGACCTAGAAATCATTAAAACCAAACCTTCCTGACAAATTTTCCAGAATATTTTAATCAAAACTGCAGCCACTAGAGTGTTAACAAGCTTTTTCTATTTTTAGCTCCTGTGACCTAGTTTTTGACCGGTGATAACCCATCTTCGAACTTGACCTGAAAATCATGGAAAACAACATTCCTGACAAATTTTCCAAAATATTTTGGATGAAAACTGCAGCCACTAGAGTGTTAAACAAGCTTTTTCTATTTTAGCACCTGTGACCTAGTTTTTGACCGGACATGACCCATCTTCCAACTTGACCTAGATATCATCAAAACAACTTTCCTGACAAATTTCCAGAATATTTGGATGAGAACTGCAGCCACTAGAGTGTTAACAAGCTTTTTCTATTTTTAGCTCCTGTGACCTAGTTTTTGACCGGACATTACCCATCTTCCAACTTGACCTAGATATCATCAAAACAACCTTCCTGACAAATTTCCAGAATATTTGGATGAAAAACTGCAGCCACTAGAGTGTTAACAAACTTTTTCTATTTTTAGCTCCTGTGACCTAGTTTTTTGACCGGAGATGACCCATCTTCGAACTTGACCTAGATATTATCTAAGCAACCTTCCTGACAAATTTCCAGAATATTTGGATGAAAACTGCAGCCACTAGAGTGTTAACAAGCTTTTTCTATTTTTTAGGCTCCTGTGACCTAGTTTTTGACCAGACATGATCCATCTTTAAACTTGACCTTTTTGAAGATATTATCTAAACAACCTTCCTGACAAATTTCCAGAATATTTGGCAATGAAAACTGCAGCCTATAGAGTGTTAACAAGCTTTTTTCTATTTTTAGCTCCTGTGACCTAGTTTTTGACCAGACATGACCCATCTTCGAACTTGACCTAGATAAAATCAAAACAACCTTCCTGACAAAATTTCCAAAATATTTCTGAAAATTGCAGCCACTAGGAGTGTTAACAAGCTTTTTCTATTTTTAGCTCCTGTGACCTAGTTTTTTGACCAGACATGATCCATCTTCAAACTTGACCTAATATCATCTAAACAACCTTCCTGACAAATTTATTTGGATGAAAACTGCAGCCTATAGAGTGTTAACAAGCTTTTTCTATTTTTAGCTCCTGTGACCTAGTTTTTGACCGGAGATGACCCATCTTTTGAACTTGACCTAGAAACCATCAAACAACTTTCCTGACAAATTTCCAGAATATTTGGATGAAAACTGCGGCCACTTGAGTGTTAACAAGCTTTTTCTATTTTTTAGCTCCTGTGACCTAGTTTTTGACCGGAGATGACCCATCTTCGAACTTGACCTAGATATCATCAAAACAACCTTCCTGACAAATTTCCAAAATATTTGGATGAAAACTGCCGCCACTAGAGTGTTAACAAGCTTTTTTATTTTTAGCTCCTGTGACCTAGTTTTTGACGGAGATGACCCATCTTCGAACTTGACCTAGATATCATCAAAACAACCTTCCAGACAAATTTCCAGAATATTTGTATGAAAAACTGCAGCCTCTAGAGTGTTAACAAGCTTTTTTCTATTTTTAGCTCCTGTGACCTAGTTTTTGACCCGAGATAAACCCATCTTCGAACTCGATCTGTATTTCATTGAGACAAACATTCTGACAAAGTTTGATGATGATCCAATCAAAAAACTGTGACTGCTAGACTGTTAACAACCCAATTATTAGAGTGTTAACAAGCTTTTTCTATTTTTAGCTCGTGACCTAGTTTTTGACCAGAGATGACCCATCTTCGAACTTGACCTAGATATCATCAAAACAACCTTCCTGACAAATTTCCAGAAATATTTGGATGAAAACTGCAGCCTCTAGAGTGTTAACAAGCTTTTTTTCTATTTTTAGCTCCTGTGACCTAGTTTTTGACCCGAGATAACCATCTTCGAACTCGATCTGTATTTCATTGAGACAAACTTCTGACAAAGTTTGATGATGATCCAATCAAAACTGTGACTGCTAGACTGTTAACAACCCAATTGTTAGAGTGTTAACAAGCTTTTTCTATTTTTAGCTCGTGACCTAGTTTTTGACCAGAGATGACCCATCTTCGAACTTGACCTAGATATCATCAAAACAACCTTCCTGACAAATTTCCAGAATATTTGGATGAAAACTGCAGCCTCTAGAGTGTTAACAAGCTTTTTCTATTTTTAGCTCCTGTGACCTAGTTTTGACCCGAGATAACCCATCTTCGAACTCGATCTGTATTTCATTGAGACAAACATTCTGACAAAGTTTGATGATGATCCAATCAAAACTGTGACTGCCTAGACTGTTAACAACCCAATTATTAGAGTGTTAACAAGCTTTTTTCTATTTTTAGCTCGTGACCTAGTTTTTTGACCAGAGATGACCCATCTTTCGAACTTGACCTAGATATCATCAAAACAACCTTCCTGACAAATTTCCAGAATATTTGGATGAAAACTGCAGCCTCTAGAGTGTTAACAAGCTTTTTTCTATTTTTAGCTCCTGTGACCTAGTTTTTGACCGAGATAACCCATCTTTCGAACTCGATCTGTATTTCATTGAGACAAACATTCTGACAAAGTTTTGATGATGATCCAATCAAAACTGTGACTGCTAGACTGTTAACAACCCAATTGTTAGAGTGTTAACAAGCTTTTTCTATTTTTAGCTCGTGACCTATTTTTTTGACCAGAGATGACCCATCTTCGAACTTGACCTAGATATCATCAAAACAACCTTCCTGACAAATTTCCAGAATATTTGGATGAAAACTGCAGCCTCTAGAGTGTTAACAAGCTTTTTCTATTTTTAGCTCCTGTGACCTAGTTTTTGACCCGAGATAACCCATCTTCGAACTCGATCTGTATTTCATTGAGACAAACATTCTGACAAAGTTTGATGATGATCCAATCAAAACTGTGACTGCTAGACTGTTAACAACCCAATTGTTGACGACGAACGACGCACAACGCACGACGCACGACGCACGACGCACAACGCACGACGACGGACGCCGGACATAGCCCCATCACTATACCTCACCATGACCACTTCGTGGTCAGGTGAGCTAAAAAACTACCTAAAATATAAAGACTGCCCACTCTTTTTATCGATTGAACCGATATTTTCTGAAGGATATTTAAAGATATTTATGTGTGTCACAGGGGTTATTGATTACTCAGGTTACGTTTATTATAAAATTGAAAACAAATATGATGAAAAGTAAAGTTATTTTAATTTTACCTGAATACTAACCATTTACTTTTAGATGGGCATAACGTCACTTTAACTTAACACTTACGCTTAAAATCAATACTCGTTTAAAGGGAAGTTTGTCGCAAATATTTGCATAGATGGACCTTTTAAACCACATTTTCGTATAAGTACCAGTACACCCGTACACCAGTACTCTATATGATAGGCAATACGATGGGACCACTTTGTGAATACTTACGTAGAATCTCTTTCAAATGGAAAGAATAATGGTTTGATTTTAGCTTATACCAGTTTTGCAACTTTTCACTGCTGCGCAGCGTTTTACCCATATGTGAGAATATTCTTTCAATATATTTATTTTGTTTGAACAGACGAACATGATATTAAAAAAAGCATTTCAAGCGTTATACATGATGCAACAGAATAGGAATAGTTTAAAGGCCCATTATGTTTCAGAAATGCTTTTGATCTTATTTCTCAAAACCTTTTTAATATTGGTATACAGTTATAGTATCCAAATAGTTACCTGAACCAGCATTTTCATATGTTGCTTTTTAATCAATAAGTACAGTTATAGTAAATTAGTATTTTGTATGGTAGTCAAAATGCTACTTTGTTTACATTTTGCTACTTTTATGACAAATTATCTCACAGTTATCACTACTTTCTTCAGATAACAATTATCTAACATTCTGTAAAGCCATTATTTAAACAGTATTACATACAAGTTTGCAATTTCTAAAGAAGTAAAAATTAATTTGTTTCTGAGGCTTAATGTGCCTTTAACAAGTTGAGTATATTATCCTGTTCATTAACTATAACTATTGTGTAAATTAGTAGTGATATTACGATAAGAATTCACCTAGCATATTAAAGTTTCAGCTCAAACTTTTGAAGTTATTTTGTTTTCGTCTTGGCCGTATTTTTTAAGAATTTGAAAATTAATATACATTACTGTAGTGAATAGTCAATGTTTTTGACATGGACATATTTATCATTTTTAGAGAGAAAAATGAAATCACCTTATATGACAAATAGAAAAATGCAACATATACGCATAACATACCTAAACATTTATTCATCGGGTGTAAAGCTAACCTGTCAAAAGCATGTAAAGCAATGCGTCAATGTGCAATGTCCCCCTGGGTAAACAGTGATCAATAAATTAGTAAACTGCTCATTTATATCAGATAAGTTTCAGATAAAATCATAAAACGATAAGTAAGTCGGAACTTTTAATGGGATAATGGTTTTCGTGTGCACAAGTTTTGTATTTCTTTTGTTTTCTTTCATTTCTTTGGATAAATGTTCTGCCTTATTCCACACGACGTATACTGATGCGGGTGCGATTGTTGGAAGAATAGATAATATCTACTACAACAACACACCTTATAAAATTGTCACTTATCTTGGAATACCATATTCTGAAGAAATCAAACCTTGGAAGAGATTTCAAAAACTTCACTTCCGGGAGCCATTCAAGACACCATACAACGCCACCTATATCCGGTCCGCTTGTTTGCAATCTGGACAAGGAGCAACCAGTCAAGAGACGAGCGAAGATTGTTTGTTTTTAAATATCTACGCTCCAGCCGAAAGTACAATAAATCCGAAAAAGAAATATTCGGTTATTATTTACATTCATGGTGGAAATTTCAAAACTGGTGCATCGAGCGATGTTTCACCAGAAATACTAAGCATTGCTGGAGATTTGATAATTGTAACAATTAATTATCGTCTTGGAATTTTCGGTTTCCTCAACAGTGGTAATTCGTTCGCTAGAGGTAATTATGGGCTTTGGGACCAACAACTTGCTATTCGCTGGGTCAGATACAATATTGCTTCATTTGGAGGTGATGTAAGAAACATAACGTTGATGGGTCAAGCTGCCGGAGCCGCCAGTGTCTTGTTCCAGGCTACGTATCCTGGAAACCGTGGATTATTTCAGCGCATAATTGCTATTAGCGGAACCAGTCTCAGCCCCTGGGCGTTGCATGGAACTAATCTTAGAGATATAGCGGAAGAATTAGAATGTTTAGATGATGAAAAATCTTTCTCATTCAGCGACGAACCATTAGTCGATTGTATCAAAAATAAACCTGCAGAAGATATTCTTGCCGCTGGTATTTCAATGGAGAATATAGGACCTACGGTTGATAGCGACTTCATTTTTGATCACCCGGATAAAATTATGAATCTTATAAACAGCACTTACAAAGATGCCAACGATTTCTTCAGATCCTTAGATATCATTGTCGGTGCCAACAGTGACGACGGTAGTCAAATCCTTGAAGCTGCTTTATCACTCGATTACGGAATGACTGGTTTACAAACATTTACATTATTATCAGATGAAATCGAACAAATCCTTCTCCCAACTCTGCTGGAACCTGTATTCAAAAGGCACGAATTATTCTTGAATTATACTCTAAACAAGCAGACCAGAAACAATATCCTCTCGTCTGCTCTTTTTCAATACACAAACTGGACTGATCCGTATTCCAGCGAGTACATCAGACAGAACTTGCTCCGTCTGTCGACGGATGTCAATTTCGTGATTCCAGCAGTCCAGCTCGCGGACGCTCATTCTTACACTAATATCAATGCTTCTACGTACGTCTATCAATTTACTCATAAGCCCAAGTATGACACAAATGCTCCCCTGTGGTTAAAAGGAGCAAGTAACGGTATGGAGACGTTCTATATATTTGGCTTTCCCGATAGAATGATAAATAGTCGAGGTTTAGATAGAAGATTGATAAACAAGCGGGAGTACAACATTTCCCAGACTATGATGAACTGGATTGCTAACTTTGCTAGGACTGGGTAAGTTTCTTTAATTTATTTCAAATCAAAATGCTTGATATTTATGTTAGTAAAATTGCTAATAGAAATTTAATTAGAATTATCTTTTATTAGTTACGAAAATTGAAGTTAAAGACAAAATGGCGCCGATTGCTGAGCCATGTCATATCGTTGATAAATAACGGAAACTTTTAGAGGTAGTTTACCAGTCAGTCGTTTAAAACTCCAACCTGGCACCTGGCATCCACTACATAAAATATCTCTCTTTTGTATGAAATCAAAACAATAATTCAGCGTAACTTATTTATTCCATCCAAAATGAATTCCAATTCGGCATGAGAGACGCTTCAAAACGATATTAGAAGATCTAAAACGTTTACTTTAAGCTTCAGCCATTTATTTACTTATTTTGCAAATTGACAAAATATCACTCTCCAAAATTATTAACCACCATCCTATATTCTCTTGTAATTTTTTAAACAAAAATTTTCGCCACGACAACTCACCGTCGTTTATTGTATATATCCATTATTTAAAGAACTCCTATTTTAAAGAATGATGAGAGACAGCATGTACTATGTTCTTCTTAAATGTACACATGGTTCTAAATGTCGCTTCATAATGATTATAAATATAGTAAAGGGGTTTTAACTGGTTGATGCAAATGCAGAATAATAAAGTCCAGAGAGTAAAACAAACATAAAATACGCGTGCATTAACTGAAACTAAATACATTCCATTAAATTCAAACTCCTTAAAATGCTAGTCACAAAAGAGATTGTGGCTAGTCACAACAAGTTTTATCCGGGTAACTATATATCCACATTTTGAAATGAAGAAATTTTATATTCTCGTAAATAAAATCTGGCGCAGTAAGAAAACCCATTTGGGTATAAAAAACACTATCAAAACTATCCGCTAAAAGCCATTTGAGGGAAAATAATGTCACGAATGTTCCGCTATAAAATATCTTATTTTTATTTATTAACTATTATACCATCGAAAAATGCATCAAATCAGAGTAATCACCGCCAATTTATATTTTCTAACGTTTCTAATGTCACAGATGGTCTTAGTAGTACAGTATCGGAGGGGGGTTTCTGTGTGCATGAGAGGTCCTTTAATAATTTATGCAGAATCTGTTAGGAATGTCTGAATTGTAAGAATATTGAAGGTGATAGTCAAAAATAATGGTGCGGTCCGAGAATTCAAGATGGCGTCCAAGATGGCCACCAAAAATATGAAAACTACCATGTTCTTCCAAGTAATTAATATTTGGCACATAATTATATTCTTTTACAGCATTTTGCATCGTATATATTATGACATAAATGAAGTCAATGGTCAAGAAGAGAAAATTGTGTCAAAAAAGTAGAAAAATACTATTTTTTAAAGATGTTTAGTACATTTTTTCATGTTTTCTTGCTACGGCCGAATGAATTGTTTTCTTATGACTTATATTACAAAACTAATTATTTGTACATAAGAAATGTGCCATTGAAAATTTTCGTATAGTATATGTGTATGTAAACTGTCATCAAGACTTAGTATGCTGGCTTCTTCGCTTTCGTTATTATTTCTTTGATTACAGCTGTAATCTAATTAGGTGTATTTAATTAACGAATGCGTACAAACCACGAGAATGAATAACAATGATTTAAAATTAGGAAATATTCATTATATATATACTAGATAGTGTTCGCTGAAAATGAGACGAGAACGCACGTAAATAGTCGTGGTCATCTATTGGCATTTGTAAAGTTTTTATTTTATCACTTTCAGAAATCCGAATGAGCCAAGAAATTTCACAGGTTTCGGCAACACATCTGTATTATGGCCAGAATACAGCGACGAACGGCCATACTTCAGTTTTTCTGCTAACGTGTCTTCTATTAGGTCTCAGCGTACACGATTTGGGGAGTCAGCAACCTCGTTTTGGACAACACTGGTTCCTGTACTTCTGCGAGGCTCTCCGCCACCGTCACCGGTTAAGAGGAACCAAAGTGATAAAATAACATTTACAGCTTTTAAGATAAAAGCTGAAAAGATTGAAATAGTAATTATAGCTTTTATAACTGTGACAATTGGACTTCTAATAATTACCGTGCTACTTGTGATATTTTCATGCAGATATGTTTTGTGATCCTTGATTTATTTATTGTTATTTTGACAAAGAAAATGTATTATTATTAATAAAAAACAAGTGTGGTCATATTATGTACAGAATGATGGACGAAATGTTGATTTAATAGGGTAGCCTGCCCCCCCCCTCCCTCATTTTAACGTAGCGGTCATTTTACCATGATACACTGTGCATGACGTAAATTCTTGTAAAATCGAACCAGTATTCTCACGAGCATGTTCATATAACACACCACTTAATCACGTTTTCAGGCAGTTGTAAGCCCATTTGAAATACTATAGACCATAGTTTTAGACGGGTTGGGTCTCTGCGATTTCCATTCGCTCAGAACACAGAAAGAAAGAAAAAGACGCCGATCCTTAAACCGACAATATCATGCGGCCTCTTGAGCCCATTTCCTTGAGCTTTGTGTTTTTATAGCTGTAAAGAAAAATCTCCGAAATAATGCAAGGGCTTATCTGCAAAGGAATCAGACAAATGATGTTTAAACAGTTGTCTTCAGAAAATTGTGTGTGTGGCGCCGTTAAATGTCGCAACGCCGCTAAATGTCGCACTTGTCGCTAAATGTCGCACCATTGCCGCTAAATGTCGCAACCGCCGCTAAATGTCGCAAAATCATTTGCCGTTAAATGTCGCAATGTTAACGTTAAATGTCGCACGAATTTCCCTTACCGTTAAATGTCGCAACACTACCGTTAAATGTCGCAAGATGTAAATTCATGTTAAAATCATGATTTAAGTAGTATTATATTAAGCCCCGGTCACATATTCACGGATAATGCCACGGAAGAGCTACGGTCTAATTGTTTACGGATTACTACGGAAATGTGAAATTCCGTAGGCCGCTACGGTTCCAGTACGGACACACAACGGTATGAGTACGGAGTTTGACGGATTTACCTCCAAAAGCCCCGGGAGAGACACGGATTGTTACGGATCGACACGGTTTGATACGGAGCGACACGAATCAGGACGGACGTACTACGGATACACTACGGTCTGCTACGGTATAAGCACGGGTTAGTACGAATAAGTACGGTCTGATACGGAGAAGAACGAATTAATACGGAGAAGAACGAATTGCCACGGATCTATACGGACCTATTATATCCGTCGACAACCTCTTGCATGCTCAATGTCTTACAAGAAAAGAACACCTAGAACGAATTGCAGAGTTCAATTATTTTGGCGGAAAGGATTCGGCCTCATCGCGTCAGACCCCCGAGACATACCAGGTCCGATTAGGGTGAATTTCTTGAAGGACGCCGGATCCTCAACAAGTTCGACCATGAGAGCCTCATACTTAACATGGAGGGGTCTTCGTAAAAGCCCATCTCTAGTCAACCATCACCTCTGTCTTCTCTTACCGGATAAGATATGGACTAGTTATCATTAATGCAAAATGTTGATCAATACTGCTTCTCTTTTGAATTTAAAATGTGCTGTTCATTTTACAATTACATTAATTATCGTGAATGTTTATGTTTTAAGAATATGTAAAATGCTTGTGTTAATTACTCTTAGTCAGTATCACTCAAGGGCCAGCCTTCGAGGCTTATGAGACACGTTTTATGTACATATTTACTCCAATTTCCCAATTCAATGTTTTGTAAAATTATAACATTAAAATGTTATTATATTACTTATGCATTGTTGTACGATATTAACATATTTTTTTTTACTTCTATGCATGTCATCAAACAGCTCGACCACTGCCTCCGCATTCTAAGCCATATCAATATACATTTGCAGCCAGTAAATGGCAATTATCATTTATTGAATGTTCACACAAATATCTTTTAACTAGCAGTTGGTATTATTTATACCCTTGAAAAAGTACATGATACTTAATTTATCCGTACTAAACAGTGGTGGACCGTACCATTCCGTACCGTTTCGTGATGCCACGCAATAAACCGTAAAAGACCGTGCTAATCCCTGCCTCTCCGTAGTACAGCGTATTACGATCGTGGCTTTCCGTGATAATGCCGTATTAATCCGTATTAAAACCGTAGGTTATACGTAGGGTAACCGTGCAAATACGTAGTTCTCCGTACCAAACCGTGGACAAGTTGGGGCCTACGAATCAGTACGGACTAGAACGGTTTTCGTACGGACCAGTACGTATCAGTACGGTTTAATACGGACTAATAGGGATACGCTACGGTTGATTTTTCCGTAGCAAATTTTTGTGCATGTTCAAAAATTGTCAAGGATCGCTACGGATATACAAGGACTACTACGATTGATCACGGTTACAATACGGAGAGCTACTGACGAGTACGGGTAACTACGGACGATGCCGGAATTAATCCGTGGCTCTTCCGTGAGCGGTTTCCGTGAATATGTGACCGGGGTATTACTTTTTAACATTCTCATAGTTATTTTTATTGTAATTGCCATCTTTGTTTTACTTGTTTTCTTTTATGAACCTAAATATCGAGGTTTTGAGCTGCTATATAATGTAATCTTTAGGCTAGAAAGGATAATTGATACTTAATTCTCAATAGATAAGTATTTTTCTTTTGTTTCCCATTTTCATTTGTAACCCTGATTGACAACAGATTAAAGGTATTATGGTATTGTCGCTCTCAGAATTTGGTTTAAGTAATTTCATTTATTTTCTCAGACACTATCGAATTCACTTTAAATGTGGTTTATTTGTTTACTATGATCATATGATGCAATATCAAAGGGCAGATAATCATAGATTTTGCAAAGTTATTCCCCTTATTTCTCTCTCTCATTAACCTTTTGGTTACGGCTAATTTCAAACAAATTCACTTTAGACTTAAATACTTATTTCATATAAAAGTACTAATGCATTTCAAAAGGACAGATGATCCCGACAGGTATTTTTGCTAAATTATCTCCCTTTTTATATTTTCCCCCCAAAATACATATTAAATATTCACTTCAAACGTGAAGGCAAAATTTTTTATTTTATAGGAAACGGCAAATACGTGAAAAACATAGTATGAAATGCACGGTCAATACGAAAATCGAAAACAAAAATTATCATGTAGTACTCCTTGATCATGTAGTATTCGATCCGCAGTCGGGCGTTAGATATGACCGAATTTTACGTTTAACACATATAATATGCACCGGAATTTTTGTTAGCAGCCAGCCCGCATAGCTCAATCGGTTAGAGCGCGAGACTTGTAATCTCGACCTTGTGGGTTCGATTCTCGGACTGGCCAACTAAAATTACTAATCAGTCTTTTGGATAACACTTTTAATCGAGGTCCCATGTATGTGTGCTTAAACAACTTGGCACGTTAAAGAACCAGGGGAAGCTTCTGGAATTGGGGCATCTTTCTGTACCTGTAATTGCACTATCTTCAAAATCTAAAATGACAAATACACTTCTGGAGGACTCGCCCATATGGGCAACCGGTGGCGAGTATAAATAAACGCAAATATACACACAGTAAGCAGATGTCAAAGTTAGAATGAGTTCACAAGATTTAGAACATTTTACGATTTGTCAAACACTATTTACGCTTTGACATTGTGGCAAGTGATATTTTACTCGCCAAGTCGCTTTATCCTTTGAAAGATTCTCAGTAAATACCATATTATAAGAATACAAATAATGGGTTAAGCTCATATTGGCCTTGCTATTTGGCTGAAGACAGCAGAGAATTTAAGCTTTTTATATCATTGCTTTGCTGTAATGAAAATCTTAATCTGTAAGCTTCATTTTAAATATTTCAATGAAATTAAATCTGACATCTTTCGAAAAACACAAGACATGAATAATACATATGTAACGAAGATATTAGTTAGATATCTGTAACCACTTTTATGCTCGTATTTTTATTCACGAGTTTGATTTGAACTTTTTTTCTTATCATGTCCGAATGCGCATGTCGAGTACGTCATAGTGAAGTTCAAATGACCATAAATACCAAACATACGCACAATAGAGTATCTATTTTAAGATAATTTTAAGAACTTTATTTTTCAAAACAAAAACATAAGACAGATGTGTAAAGAAAACATCTTTT